TTCCAAACACCCCCACCGACTTATTGCCTCAGTAAGCTCAGTTGTCTCAGTGTCAACTTATTCAGGAGTTCCATGCATGATGGTTGAGTGGCACACACCGACGTGAATTTATTCGATGTTACGGAGACCCTTCCCCAAAGACTGTGGTCTATCGGGCCTAATCCTAATGTCTGACACTTACTGCCCTGCTTGACGATGACCTGCCTGAAGAACTTTTCCGGTTTGACGAGTGTTATCTCAGGAGAACACCAAAGGCCTAGGAGTGCTTTTGGAGGAAATTTCCTGGGGGCCTAGGGTTGGAATGCGGGGTGGGGTCCCTAAAGATTCACATACAACCTTCCATTAAGCGAAATCCTGCCTTTCGCAACCAGCCACCAAGACAGGACCCCATCCCCCGCCGTAAAACAGTATGGGCGACTGAAGATTGAAGTTATTTTCTGCGTCTCACCCCACCCAGTCAGTGCAGGCTCTACTCCGTTCCAGCTCATTGGGGATTACTAACAAGACCCGTGTTCCGGACTTTGAGGGTCACATCTGGGACTGTCAAGGGCCGTTGAAGCTCTATTTAAGAGAACTTGGTGATACTTCAGACGTGTTGATATCGAGACTCTAATTTCCTGCCTGAGCGGCAAGTGCATATGTTATTCCAGGAGCCGGTCTCGCATTACTTTGGGAAGGAGGCGCGGCCACCCTGCCAACTTTGCCACTGTTTCCCATGCTTGTGCCAACATTTCTTCTTGATTTTCTCGGGGCGGTTTTTATATGCTGCATTTGTGTCCTTCAACAAAGAAGTCTGTTCCAGTTATATGCACATAGATGAGCAGATAGCAACGAGCTTGTTTTGTTGAACAGTTGACTGTATTGGGTGACCTTTTGTGCTGGGGGGCTTGCTGTAAGAAATTGAGTCCAGAACAGATTTTGTACCATGGTATCTGTTGCCACTGTCTCTAGGAGCGGACTTGACGTGATGAAACTTTTTCTCAAAGAAGTTGGTTTGTGCTGACACTTCAGATGTACGATGACCAGAATCACACCTAATGAGCTCCAGGACTATACGGCACCTGCTTTCGGTCCTGCAACATGGACACAAATAACGCTCGCCATCAAAGCACCAACTCAGAAGTATGCCATAGTAACCGGGAGGCATGTCAAGAAAATGGAAGCAGCGAATTCATCGTGAGCATAACTCACAACTTTAGTAACAGCAACGCTGATGAAACTCCTATAACATGCTAAGTCAACGTTCTTTGGTGCCGTTGTCAGGTAGAATAGATCACATATATTTAGGCAGATACTGAACGAAGAGGTAGAAAATACTCTGATCCTAATCAAGCCCTCAGTATTCTTCATTTTTTTCAAGGCATGCCTTCTATTGAAAGAAGCATCTACAGCCGTGTCAGCACTTTCAGCCGATCTCTGGGTAATTAGGTCGACATATGTGGCTCATCAGCAACATTTGAATGCATATTCACCTATCCCCCATTAGACCCACCGTGAAATTCAAGCTATGGACCACACCGCTTTCTCCATGGGTGCTTTTCACTTCCCTTATCTATACAACCCAAACAAACTTTTGCAACACTCTTAGCACGGCGCTTAAAAACTATTCGCGGGCACTTGAGCTATCGGGAGTTGTGGGGAGTGCGCTTACTGTTCAGCAGCCCTGTTGACCCCGAAAAAACCTCCTTACAACTTGCAAAAGAACACTATCAGATGGACAATTACCACCCCGAAACCTATGAGCAGGCAAACTGACAAGACTTCTACAGACACCGAAGGAGTATAGTTAGACGAAAAGAACGGATCATTGAGACCTAGCTGCGGCCTGCTCAATCGTTAGACCAGATCATCTTCATCGGATAAATCCCATCAGATTCTTCCCTTCCCGTTTTCTCTAATTTTTAAATATCTTCTGAACGCATCATGTACTCTCGCACATTTTGAGATGATTTCAAGTTGTCTTTTTCCAAGCTGGGTACAAAACAAAAAAAAGGTTACGCCGGACGGAAATGGGCTTATAAGCACTCAAAAACACGGCACATTGCCTTTATCTATATTCATTACTCAGTACGGACCAGATTCTGATATGACACCAGCCCCATTTTTCATATCTGTGCCTCGATACTGTTATTATTGGCATTATTCAGATGCGGGAGTGTTTTGTCGCAAAAATGTCGTACGAGGAGCGAGTTCATTGAAATGTTGCACGCTGAGAATTGCACACCTCATCACTCACGTTGTTATCATTATGAGTTTCTACTTTGGCTGTTGATGTTCGAAAGTGTTCACCCGTCAAACTGAAGGCATACGATCAAGCATGCGCTGCACTTGGCATGTAGCTGTGTTAAGTTGCACTGTTCCTAATCGACCCCCTATCTGGCTGAATGGAACGTATCGGCATTTTGATACGACCTCGCAAATGTATCATATCATTTGACTGCGCTGTTGCGTTCCTCTTTGGCCTCGTATTCGTGTTTGCATTACAGGTACAAATAATCAGTGATTGGTCTCTGAGCCTGCCAGGTTCGCACAAGGACAATTACTAAAGTTAGGCCCAGTTCCTAGAAGAGAGTTAGTAGGTGATGTAGATGCGTCCACAAAATCGACGGTGAGTAGTAAATAAGAGGCTAGTAGCACCTTCAGCAAGTCTGTAGTGAGCCGTCCCAAATAACGCAACTGTCTAACTGCTTTTGAATGGGTCTACCAAGAGGCTGGTGACTACGCCCTGCGGCAAGGCGTCCTATTTAGCGCATCCTCTCAAGGAGAAAAACTTTGACAAGGGCCTGGTGTTAGCTCACTGGTGTGCTGTCCTGATGGGGTTCCTTCGTGACGACCGCCACGTTAGAAGTGAGATCTGTTTGTTTGCGTGGCTTGGTTGATGGATAATCTTGTTGGCCCCAACAAAGTCACCTCTCCTCCTGAGGCAGCCCAAAGTGAGAAGATCTAGGCACTTCAGTCTTTCAGAGTATACCTTCCGCCTAAACCCCACAAGTGAATATGTTGCAGCCCTTCGTATTTTCTCACGGAGATTGGAGTCTGTCCTTAGTGTTAGGGGTGGAGCTTCGCTGAAGACCTCTAGATTGGTTTATAGGTGGGATTGGAAAACCGTCGAAAGCATTTCGAGGATGAGAATTCCAAGCTGCCAACGCGGAGAATGCAAAATGAGGCTCGTTCTGGCTGCCGTCACTCTGAAGCTGGAGTCGGTGCTGGGGGCGTCAGAGAAGCTGGGCCCCAATCTCTGTCCATGAATACTTTCGCTATACCAAGGTTGTTCAATCCGACCGTCCTTGCCTCATGGGTATTGATGTGTATTACTTTGTACTGTTCCAGGATGAGCCTCGAGCCGTTTTCTGGCGGCTAGAGTCCTGGTGCCCACAAGTCTTTTTGGAGTGTTGTGCGGTCAGCCAGTTGATATGGTGACCCCTAGGTTTTTATATCATCAACGAAAGGGAGGAAAGGTAAGGGTATTTTGTCTTTCAGACGGCTGGCGAACAGAAGGAATAGAAGTGGTCCCAGGATTGTTTTTGGGATACCCCCAAAGTTGACGGTTTCCGTTCCGATAGTACTCTGTTTTCTTTGGTACCAGTCTGTTTGCCCTCCAGTTACGATTTGGACCAAGGAAGCACGGGCCCTCTTACGCTGGTTGACAAAATTTTGTTATGTAGGGCACCGAGTGGGATTCTACCAAGTGCTATAGCTAGGTCAAGAAAAATAAAACGTAATGGTTTTATGTTGCCTCGGCCAAAAGTCCAGCCGTCTCAGGCAGCCAGCAAGTTGTTGGAACATGAACGACCACTTCGAAAGCCATTCTGGGTCATACTGACTGTATTTTCCTCGCGAAGAAATTCACAGATCTCTTCAGTTATCATGCTTTCCAATACTCTGAACAGTACACGGGGTATAGTGATCGGTCTGTAGCTGCCAGAACATTTTCTTTCTCCTTCCTCAAAGATTGGTGACAATATCACGTGCTTCCATTTCTGACAGGAATCCACATGACTTTAGCTGGTGCTTGAAGAGGCTGTAGATTGCCTTAGCCATTGCTACGGCACAGTTCTGTAGGTCGGGTATCTCTAGACTGCTCAGCATATCCTCACCAAGGTTGGCCTCTTTGCTAAACATATTCCCCTTCGAAAGGAAGCGGTACTGGTTTTGGGGGTTACTTTGTGACCTCCTTATCAGGTTTTTCGTTACCTATACCTGTCACCGCAAAGTCTTATGCTGCAGTGTCTTTGAATTCCTTGGAATTCGAGAAGGCAGGAGGCCTGCGGGATGAGCGCTACTTGAAACGGACCTGTCTTACGGTTCGAAGCAGCCTATCTGCTTCACGCTATAGTCATGAGGTTCTCATTGACGGTCGGTTTGTTAACTCTGGCGCACTATGGCCAATGACCCCATGGATTACTTCCTTAATCTGTATCCAGCGTTCATCTTTCGTGAGGCGAATCCAGTCCACATCCCGTGGTTCATTCATGAGGCTCTCTCCCATGGTCTCAGGGTTGCTCTTACTGTGGCAGCGGGAAGTGCTGGGTGTCTCAGGCTATAGGGTCACCCCAGCTACCGAGACCGAGATGTGGCTGGACACGAGTGTAAGAAGATTATCATCATCTCCGTCAGGCCCTCAACGTGTGGCATCAGTCACACCAGCAGTCTTAAGTGCAATCAGCTTGTAACTGAATGGTCTCCCTTCCGTCTCAAAGAGGATGAACAGAGTGCTGAAGCCACCTGCAAAAACTACGGGATAAAATCTGCAGGGGAAGTCACTAAGAAATCCTGGACTATATCCTTATGGACAGCGGAGCTAGTTGGCGACGGATATACGACCCGAGTACGTACTTGATTTAACATTTGACATACTCCAGTAAATGTCACTACCCCTTATTATTCTTTTATTTATCTGTGTTCGCCAAAAGATGGATAACCATAGTGGATTTACAAACAGCAGTACAATTCCTTCTTCCACATGCCAATTGCAAAAATGTACAGCCAGCATTGTACAGCTGGCATTGGCGCGTAGATTGACCTTAATGGACAATGATTGCCTACGGCGAAGGGAAGCAATTCCTTATAGAGGGGAAGAGCTGTACTTTGTTTGACGATCAAGAAAAAGCTTGTGAAGTTAACAGTGATAAACTTTTGATACCGTGGTGGGGGGATAGGTCCATTTTAATTGACAGGTCAGGTTTATTTACCCAGTATTTCAATGATATCAATATGGTTATGCAGATTCATTGTTGTGTTGATATTAAGATAAAAATATTTGATATTGAGTACTGCATTTAGGAGACAATTAATTTTTCCCTGTCTCGAGGCTTCATACATTACGCCGAAACTATATATCGTTATATAGTTAACGTTTCATGGAACCTTTCCTTAACGGGGACTCAGTTGCATTACTGAGCGCTGCATGACCAGCTTATTAAAATCATGAAACACCGAGTTATTCCCAGCCGCACAGTTCGTAACAACCTAGGGCGTGCACGCTCTACGAAACAAATCAGTATTGTTTGTAATGTCACCAGGTTATAGCATAAATAAAGATTCTAAAGGCGGTTAACGTTGGATCGAAAGGACGGTTCACCTTTAGATCAGTGCCAGAAGTCTTTGAGTTGTCCTTGTGTCTACACTATAGGCTTAGTCTTGCGTAAATGTTGATCGAGTGCTATGACACGGTACATGTTAATTGAAGCGCGTAATTGCCTAGAGTAGGACTACGTCAGTCTTGTATTAAGAAATCCCACTTATCATAGATTTTGAGTCAGTCTCAATCATCCAGAAAGCTCCTAACCAAAATGTGTGTCTCATTGCCAAGTCCTAGACGGTGTTACTGTAAAATTTCGTTTTACTCAGTGACGCTGACCGACCTACCGTGCTACTAAGCAAGTTAGGATTTCAGTTGAGTTTCTGGCTCGTAAATTCCAGAAGATTGAAGGGACTTGTCTTGCTCATAATCACGCTATATGGTATTTCTGCGGATTTCTACGTGTGATCGTATTTCTTAGAGTAGAAGGAATATTGTTCGGATTATGTCCTATCACTAGGTAAGTAGCGCTAATGTTTGACAACGACCTTAATTCTGACTTACTTAACCTTGGGACCTAGTTCCAAGAATGTAAGCCCTCTTTGTTGCTCTAGCGCTTTTTACTACCTCAGTACCTGAATTCTAAGTCTCTCACTTTGAAAATCATGCGTTTATACTTTGTAACCAGCCTTTTAACCTTGACATGTGATTTTATTCCTCAAACTCTAAATTGTAAGTTACGACGAATGTGAGTAGAACTTCTATACCGTGAGATGTATCTTAATCGCTTACCCCTAGCTGACCCTTGGGAAAGGATCTAAATAAATTCTGTATTAACTGCGATGAGAAATAAGTTTTTACTACTCTTTCGTCCCCCCAAGATAAGTATGTAGCCATCTTGCTCCAGTGGAAGGCTTATATATTCCTGTCCACCTACAAGCATCCTTTTCTTCCAGTCTTTTGCCCATTTCTTTCTACCTGTAAAGGACTTTGCTTGGCACGAAGCCGATGTTTTGATTAGATCATGTTTTCAAACATGGCTTGACACTTCTTCCAGAGTAACCTTTGCAAATGCCTTAGTAAGGCGGTAGTTCGGTGACACTTTTCGGCTACCTAAATCGAACATGAGGCTGTTTATGAAATGGATTTGTGCTGAATGTAGGAGTACCATGGTTACTTCGCTAATGAAGGTTCAGTCCTATAGTAAGATTGTGAACTTCCATTTCCTTGTTTTATCTTCTGACTTGCGTTTTAGCAAAGACTGTGTTAGCGGTGCTGTACACAGCTCTAGTATTGATTCGGAGTATTGTGTAGTTGTTAATGCAAAACATGTATCTGGAACTTTCATATTTTCTTAACCTGACTTGATATAAGGTCAGTTGCCGCATTTATCAACAAAGTGCGCCAACTAGTGCTCATTTGATCGTTCGTTTTGTTTTGGATACCTGTAAGGAATGTTATGAGTAACTATGACATGGAATTTAGATCACGAACGTACTGAAATTATAAAGGGTCATCCTTCGAATGGTAGTTTTCGGGTGACCGAGATCCGTAAGATGCCTGTTCCTAAACTAGGAAACAGGTTGCCTGCCAACCCAGTAGGTTTCGTAAATGCTAAGCAACTTACTAAATATTCTAAGTGGTTTTAGTGTAATCTCGTGGTAAGTGTACTTTTTGTTAATCAAAATTGGGCAGTTTATCTTTAGTTAAACGTTCAGTCTGTCTACAAAATGATGCGCCTGATATCAGAAGTACTTTTAAATATGGTTCCATGTCTTTTAGTTCACTCCGAAAAAAATCCCGGAATGAACGGAGTTGTCAGTTTTCTAGATCAAGTTTTAGAAGCTAAGCAGTCCATATCAGTTTAGACTATTGCCGCTAGCCCATATCGTGAGGTGGTGGTCAGGCTTACCTATCACGATAACCCAGCGACCTACATGGATGGAGAGATTGTTCCATCGGACTTACCATATCAAAAGGGTCTGTTGGATAGTTGTTAGACAAAAGACAGTTTCCGTAATAGTGTAAATACCTCACGCTATATTGAGGCTCCGATAGTAAAGTCGTACTCCTAGACGGACAGGATAACATCACTGTGTTTCCGACCACCGGTAGTCCATCCTGATACTGCCTTCCCTATAGGGAGGAGGGGTTAGAAAAGGTCAGCGTCAGAAACACTGCTCCCTGCTCTGTAGTATTCCAGTAACGGCGATATGGACTTTCTTCTGGTGGTAGCACAATCAACTCAGTCTGTTAAAGGCCATTTATGACTTTCCTTGTACAGATGTCCCATGAGGTTTGCGGTCAAGCCTAATTGATTGCTTTTCCTCTTTATACACCTTTCAGAAACACCTTCCATGGTTTGGGCAGTCGGGAAATACCATCTACCCTTGGGCTGCGAGCAGCGTGCAAAACCCAAATAACTACAACCCATCTTCCTTACCTTTGTCGCTTCTCCCATCTTCACTTCATGAAATCAATAAACCATTTCTTCAATCTCACCCTTCTATCACTGCTAACGACTAAAGCCGGCGAAACATCAATCCTGGTCCTCCAAAACCATGCTGCTCATTTTACATCGGAGGTTCCAACGTCCATATCAAACATTTTTCACTCGCCTAAACTGTGGCTTCTCAAACCATGAATGTATGTTGCTTTTCTAAAACGTACACACAACCCATTTGTGGCTATTCACTTGACCTCACCTGGCCACTACGATGAATCTGCAGAATCCACTTTACAAGGGCTCAGAGACTAGATTACTAGCTCCCGTAGACTTTCTGGTCTAGGTATGTATAGCATCAAGTTGTAGAGCGGAAATTTCACTTCTCGACTGGATACTAGTCAGCAGCTCTCTGTAAACTATCCTGCTGAATGAATCTGTAAGAAAGGTTTGTGGAATTTGCCGATTCCTATTCATAATCTCTGTCTACGCGCCCACCTACTACAGTTTGGATGTCACAACGGATAAGTTCTATCAAACGTGTTGGTTTTTCTACTGAAGGCAAAACTTTCAGATATAGTCATAATAGCAGAAGAATTCGGTGCCGAGATAGGGAAACCATCAGTTTGAAAGTCATCTTGGGGTTATCTATGATATCCCATGCTGCCGAAATGACAACGGTGAACATTTCTTACACTTTTGTTGTAATCAGTTATTTGTTTCTGGTCAGAATTAAATTCAGACATAAGTGACACTGACTCACTTTGTATCCGCCGACATCAAACCATTAGAGAACTCATTGACCATAAATACTACAAACCATCGTTGGAGGGGATTGGCTGAGGATTACTGCCTTTTATGGAGTTTGCTCCTAGACCCGGATCATGGGTTGGTATGGGCAATTATGTGCATACGGCATGCAGTAGTGAAGCTCCTGTGTGCTCAAGTGGAAGATGAGAGCCTCAGATGCATTCGTGGAAGAGGTAGCTAAGCGTGTCTGAAGATTGATGAGACTCTCCTCTTGATAAGGCCTGACGTAACATTCAGTCCGCCGTAGAAAAAAACAGAGAAAGCAGTCAGTGACCTACATCCAAAGGTTAGCAAAAGCCAGTGGATTTTCACAACCATATTCAGGATGACTGATGCAAGAAGGCTCATATCAGCTGGGTTTGATCACGACGAGGAACGAAAGCAACTTAAATGTAAATAGACTATTTTTTCAGTGACCGCGAGTAGTGTTGGGTGGCGAAGTCGAAAAAGGTGGACAAGGCGTCAGCACTACATAGTACTCGGCAATTATTCAGGCTTATCAAATAAATTGGCTAGATAATGGTTATCGAGACCATTGCTAAATAGGAACACTTTGAAAAACAGTTCGATTATCCTACAGCCATACCTCAGTTGCCCAGACTTAAAAAGAATGTTGATTTCTGTGCTCCAACTCTCCTCGAAGTTGAGAAGGCTGTTTTAAACGTAAAACAACGCAAAGCAGGCTGACCTGATGCTTTTTCACCCGAAGTTTTAGGAGTGACGCAGAGACTATGTATGAGAATCAGAAGTAGTCCTGTCAGATTGGTCTAGATCGCTAATTATTCCAGTTTATGGGAAGGAAGAAAAGTCCTGTGACAACCATCGGGGGACCAGTTCGACTAACCTGGTACTTCTAGCTGGAGCTCGAATGCAACAAGGTTCGGAAAAGCAGCCAATTTTCAGACCTGGCTGAAGGTGCGTCGATTTAATCTTCACCATTTTCCAGGTTTTGGGATAAGCATGTTTACCGGTGGCGCACTGTCGCCATATTTCTTGATCTGAAGAAGGCATTTGTCTGTCGATGTTATGACAGCGTCTGACTGAGGTATTTAATGCTAATCAAAGCCGTTCTCGAACTCACACAGTCGTGTAAATGTTTACGGAAAGTTGTTGTTTAACGCAACAACTGCTGGTGGTGTCCGTCAATGATGTCCACCGCTACTATTCTTGTCCAGCCTTATTATACACATGCCATTAGACATAAGCCATAGGTACCTCTGACTACGGAGATTGACCTACTCCCTGGAGGGCATCTGGTTGACTTGGAATACGCAGATAACATAGTCCTGTTAACCGAAGACATTGACAAAATACTGTCTGCTGAACGCCTTCAGAAATCAACGTATGTTTGAAATGCGTTTTTTACTTGTCGAATGTAATATTATGCTTCAAGACTGGTCTGTACCGACTCCTAGTATAAAGATAGGGAGTTCAGCGGTAGAATGTTTTGACGACTTCATTTACTTGGAAGTTGCATCAGCCCAAATGGGTGGGTTCCTGACGGAATTTCAACTCGGATTCAAGAGACCCGTTTGGCATTCGTTAACATATGCCGTCTCTGGCATCTGCAAGGTACTTAACTACTCAGTATAGGACAGGTATACTGCGCTGAAGTCCCCCCTGTTTTATTACACATCTGAAACATCCCTGAGAAGAGATATTAAGAGATTATAAGTTTTTGCTCGCAGGTGTCTTCGTAACGTTTCTGGCTTATGGTCCAGTTATTGTAAGAGTAGTGTCGAGCAAAGGCATAGAAGCTTTTGGAGGGAGTGCAAGTCGGCTGACCAAATTGTGAACCTTCAGGTATTAAGGTGACTTGGGTAGGCACATGCTCAATCATTACCTTCATCGATATACAGTGTTAACCGGAATTAGACCGAGTTGGAAGTGGGCTAAGAATAGTCAACTCAAGACGTGACATTAGTTCATGAAGTCCTAGATTGTTAGTCTAATCCGTGTAGGAAGATATAGCTTACTTCATAGGAGCCATCGGAAGAGTAGGAACCAATGGTTGAATCCTTTGTATAGTGGTTCGATGTTCTCTGAGCCTTAATATTTGTCGTGGATGTTTCATCGCCAGGCTTGGTTATATTCTCAGCACAAACTTCATAAAGAATTGAAGCATATCTGTATGTTACACGAATGTGTAGGTGGTATTTTTGTTGACCTCGGGTGTTGTCAAGTTGTAATTTGGAGAAAAGATTTTTATCACACATTGACGTCTTTGGTTCTATATTTCATTCGGTCACAGTGGTAGAGAGTCTTTGTTAGTGAAATTGTCTCATTCGTTATTATCGTAATGTGCTTCATTACTCAGTTTCTGGTCATTTCACGCTTGGTTGGTGGATGGCTGTTTTCTTCTCAAGTGCGTCGTAGATTGGGCCTATATCCGTATATCTTTTGATTGACTTCGTTGAAATGCCATGCTTCTAGTAACCCTCCTACAGCTTTTTGATCTGCTCTGAAGGATTTCCTCATTTTCCTTCTTGAATTTGGGGTTATGATTGTCTGCATACATTGAAACCGATGAAGGTGCAACATGTTGCCCTACTGCTAGTTGGTGTTCATGAGTTTTTTGAGCGATTCGACAATTAGACTGACAAAAGTAGTGTTGTGAACAATGTTTTCAGCAGATTACAATTGCCCTGTCTTCCTTTGGCTTGCATAACATATTCTGTAGCGATTTTGTTGGTTTTTGTTAGTTTGAATGCTACAGCTATTTAATTAGTTCCTTAACACCTGGTTATTAAGTCTTTTTATCGAGAGAATAAATTGTTGTGCGGCGTGGTTGACATATCCAAAATCACTGACATGTCTGGTTAACAATACGTAAAAGTTACTGTGGTTTGCCTTTTTGACTTCAGATTAGGATTTTTACTCATTGATTCTCTTTTAAATATCTCATACTAGACAGTGCTCTTGATAATGGTGTACTGAACCAATTTTTTGACAAATTGTAACAGAAAGTTTACCCTTATCTATACCTCTTAGCTATTAGTTAGTTTGTAAAGTAGCGTCACTTGCTGATTCTAAAAGGTGCTTTACGAATTCGTATCAATCAAATACTTATGTCAACTATATCCACAGATAATCTGGCCTAAGCGTGACAATTGAGAGTGTAAGTATAGTAAAACGTTGATCATTTGTAAGTAGATTGTTAGGTAAACTAAAGGGCAAATTGATTTTTCGGTGGACCTTGCTATCTGGCTGGTTGATATGAATTATTTAGTAAACCTTTTCAGTTTATTTTTTTGTTAGGTTTGATGGACGCGGTTATCTCACTGAAGTCTGCGAGGAAAACCCTGATTGTGATCTGAAATATGAAGATTATTTATCTGAAGAAGAGGTTGCCATTGAAAAAATGTGTGATTTTGAGCGTTATTTGGAGATGCAAGTCGACGTCCATGAACTCGCAATTCAAGATGGTGAGTATTCTTTTGACAATTATATTTTAATATATTCTACAATACCACCTTTGCTGATTGTTAATGTGACCCCTTAGCTTTTGAATCGATGTCCATTTGGTAAAACGCGTATTACTAACAGTTTCGTCCTAACTTGGTAAGTTGAATCTGTCAACTGAATAAAATATCTTTTGAAGACTTACCATGATTGTTACTGAATTAATCTAGTTTGATTTTCTTTTCCTTTTTTGTTTGTCTTAATTACTATATATGTTGATTGTATACTTCCTACTTCAGAGATTAACAACTTTTACATCTGTTTATACATTGCAGGTTTTTTTTGGGCTGCAACATGCAATACGAGCCTGGTGAGGCTATGAAAATAAGCATACCATTCAATGTAATTAAATATTAGTCAGTTTTTTTAATATTAAACAAGAAACAAACTTGTACTCCTTTTTTTATCCTCATATATATCATTCACCTTGTCTTCTTTTATTTTATAGAAGAAGCTCGGAAACGTGAATCTGAGAAATCTCGTAATCCTTATGCAGCTGTTGGTTTTTCTTACGATGAAAATGCTCCTGATGGAAATGGTGACGGATCACCCAGTGATAAAAAAACATCAGGTGATAATGAACTTCTATAATAAGAAATGATGTTTCGCTTCCGACTGCACTGTATACTTGTAAATTAAATACGCTTTAGCTGGGTAAATAGCCTTCACCAACTTGCGTTACTTGTAACGCCGACTGACGAGATACCCAACTATCTATCAAAGCACCTTGACGTGCCATGCTAGGCGAAAAAGTTGAATTCGGTTGGAAAGAGTTCAGAGTGACCAGATCAAAACGTGGCACTAGTCAATCATATCTCTTACTCTTGCTCTGAGTCGTATGGGAGTGATGTAAAGACTGCCTGCCTGGTGTCCCTAACGAGAAAGCAATCAGTGCTTCACGACTGGCTGTTGGTGACATGGTTGGAAATTCGTCACAATGTATTCATTCCTTGACATCTTCTAAAGCTTGAACATTTGCACTAACTATTATCTTCACATTTTTTATTCTTTTTCATGCAACTTTATCTTCTTTGATACCTCTATTTTTCTATCCATTTGTTCTTTATGTACTACTGTAAAGTGTGGCAACTTGAACTGATGCACCTGTGTGCGAGGTTCTACGTTGACTTTGTCTGTCCGTCTTTCTATCTGTCTTGTACTAGTACTACGCAACTCATATCATCAATAAAAGCCAAGAATGCGTTCTCGCGTTTTGCTTACTTTTAACAAAGTTTTATTTTTATCACTTGTCAGATGCTGACGCTAAGTTTGATTGTTCAACGTTTCCCATCATCTTTGATTGGTTTCATGCTCTTAACCGACATCTTTTTATTTGTTGTATCGAATAACCCATTCAATAGTATTATTATCTATGAATAAGGAGTATGTTTGAGGCTGATAACAGATTACAATCTTGGAGACATATCTCTTCATGGCTCTAATACTTGATCCCATATTCTTGATATTTGCTTGTTTGCGTAGTAGATACTAGTATTGCTGAGTGACTAAGCAACCATCTCTCATACGTAAGGTTATCGATAAACACTTCATAAGTAAATTCGTGTAGTAGAAGGTTTTTTGCAAAAAACTTATGAATTCATATATTTAGATCCCTTGATAAATTTGGATACAGTTTAAAACACTAGCTAAATTCGCATGTAAGGTAATTATCCAATTTCGACTGGTTCAGCGAAGATTCAGTATTGTACATTGATCCAAGTTTAGCTGCAGGTAAGCTCATTCTCAATGCTCCTTTAATTCCTGCATCTGTTCGCTTCTGTAATGAATCTCCCTTGAATGCAAGATGCATAAAATCCTTCTTCTTTTGTACAGTCGGGTGTTTATTTCCCTCGATGTCCTCTTTTCCATACGTCAAAATAAATCTCTTAGGATATCCATTCTCTTGGAGAAACTTCTCAATAGAGTTTAGTTCTTCCTTTAACTTGTTTTCACCTTGTGCCATGTACTAACAACCATTGCACCTGTAGACTATGTAGCTGAAGAGAATTAGGGAAATAAAATTTTCATTTTATCCTTCAAATTTCGTTCTTCATGCTTTATTCACACTTATGATTAGTTTCATCATTGTATGGACATATAAAGAAGCATTTACTCTGACTGACCTTGTTTTTTCCAAAATATTCCTGTTTCTAAATTTCAGGTGAACTCAGTAATGATGAACAACAAACTGAAGAACCATATGTTTGTCCTCCTGAACTACAACAATTTCTGTCAAATGTCCAGCTTCCAGAATTTGACAAACAGGCTCATATAATTGAAAAAACTGCTGTTTTTGTCGCTCGACAGGGGAGTCAAATGGAAATAGTTCTTAAAGCAAAGCAGCATAATAATCCACTATTTGGTTTCTTAAACTATGATCATTCGCTTAACCCATTTTACAAGGAAATTGTGAGATTAATTTCCAAAGGTCGTTATATCCCGAAACCTCGTCAGACTGTAGATAAACCAACTGGCACACTTTTCACGCATACAAATGAGTCAAATAAAGTAAGTGTCATTTGTATTGTATACACTACATACGCTTACTGCTTATCAGTAATAAGTATATTCTGTTTGGCAAGAACCTATCACACAACCAAATTGTCTTACTTATCAAATCAATAATAAGTTCTGAGATGGTGAAGAATACTTGTAGCTCAGGTGGGTGGTCTTGGTTGTATTGTGTTCTCTGAGCTGGGTTGTTTAATCGTGGAGCTTTCATCGTCTTTCTAGACGATATCATCAGCACTAACTTCAGTATGAAGTGAGCTGTCAATATCTCTCCTTGAGTAATTTAGTGGCTTGCTCTGACGACGTGGTCTGTGATTGGCTGTTTCCTTCGACTGTTATGTCATTGACTGTATAGACTTTGCTGTTGGCTGTCACTCTGCTTGACCTCTGACCTTTCTGTCTTTTATCATTTGTCGTATTGGTTGGTAGATTGAATCTATGTCTATACATCTGTTGATTGCTGACTGACTAAATGACCTGAGTTCCAAGCTTCTAGAAATTCTTTGATATTCTTTGCATTTCCTCTGTCCAAAATTTCTACATTGTCAAGATTGAATTTATATCCATGGTAGTTATCCACGTACATTGAAATGAGTGACGAAATCTTATATGTGACATCTAATAGCCAATTGGTGTTCATGTAGACGAAGGTGAAGGGGGCGACCATTTTGTTCAATGTAATGTTGAGTACAGTTATCGCAGTTGATTTTGTAAAGGGCATTCAGTTTGTCTTTTTGGCTGTTGCATCTTTTAGTTTGCATAATAGTGTTTGGAGGGAATTTGTTGGTTTATGAGTCACACCAATTCCAAGTGGTCTCAGCAATCTTGTCGTGATTTCTGATATATTCTTTATGTATGGTAGGATGATGTGTTTATTGATTTCACTCGATGATATTGTAGTTGATGTTGTACGGGATAGTGCTAAAGATGTCGTCTAGAAAGATGAAAGCTCCACGACTAAACAACCCAGCTCAGAGAATACAATACAACCAATAATAAGTTAAATGCATACATACAGATATAACTGTTTTATTCTTAAGTTTGTATCGCTGAAAAAGAAACACAGAATAAGGCGAAACTCAGCTGAAAATTCACTATGGTGCAGCCATCATGCTCATAATCTTGATGCTATTTGTAATACGAGACACCATGTATTATGATGTGATTTTTTTAATCTTCTCGATAAATTCTCACAATTATCTCACTTAGTGGTGTCTTTCTCACCTCGAGCAAGCAATTAATCTGATTGTACGTACTATCAGTCCATACAGTTAACCTTTTTACATTAACTTTTGTTTTTTCATTCTTTTATTAGTCAATTCATGAAGATGTATACGAATTGAAGCTGCCCAAAGTTGATATATCAAATACTCCTTATGCTTCACTTATCTCAAAGTTCAAAAAAATTAATGAAACGTGAGTAACACAATATTGTCATTATTTTTTTATTATCTGAAATGTAAACTTTAATTCTAAGGATATCATTACTCTAAATACCCTCAAGTGAAAATTGCTGTGTATTATACCGTTAATGTGTAGAAGATAATCAAAAGTCGTCATCTTTAAGCCATCTTTTAGAAACTAGTAAATGCTTTCCATTTATTGACTTTTGGAAAAAAAACATGAAATTCAATTTAGGGGTTTGTGAGGATTTATTGATTTTGGGTTGGTAATGACTATGAACTGATATCATTTGAAGGAATATTGGAAATCTAGGAGCAGTGGGACACTGTTACGTCCTAGTAAGGGGCTCATCCAAGACCCTGTCAGAGATCGAACCCAGAACTTTCAGGTTCTGCACCCAGCTGGATACCATTGAACCACTGGGTTGGAATTCAGTGGTGCATGTTTCATACTTCTGTTAGTTCACGATATAGTGTGACGTACATTCAATGTCATCGTGGAGTGTTTGTCCTCATATCCACCCAGTTTACCCCATCGGTCACGACTTCTTATTGGAATAGGAATCAGCTCTTGAAGCTAGCCACCAATGAGCACTAGATTAATTGAGGTTGGGGGGGATTTCATTTCAAGTTGGTGTTCACCATGAAGTGACATCAGTTGGAGAAACATTGGAAACCTGGGAGAAGTTGACAGCAATTTTGTCTAAGTATGTTACTCCTCACCGGTGCACACCCGTGACCCCGCCAGGGGTGGTCTAACCCAGTCCATGATGAAAACATGAAGTGTAAGTTTGCGAATTGGAGGCGCGTAGGAATTTATTTATTTATTTATTTCAAGTTCCTGTTCATCATCATCATTGAATTTCGACCTGGAGACCCAACGCTAATGTACCGACCGCATAACTTGGAAGTCCTGAGTTCGATCCCTGGCAGGGCGATGGGTGTACACTGCCGGCGAGTCCAATACTAGAACAAAATAGCTGTCCAGTGCTTCCAGGTTTTCAATGGTTCTCCAAACGATATCAGTGCATGATGAATATCAACTTGAAATCAACAAATCTCCACAAACCCCCAAATTAAATAATTCGCCAAATCTCAAGAAAAAGTTTAGTTTCTTGAGATCTTAATTGTTTTTAAGACTATCCCATCTCTCAAGCTTTCTCAGGATATTTACAATGTATGCGACATGAATATTTATGCACAGTTCATTTGCAGAAGCACTTGGTGAATATATCTTAGATTTTCACTAGGAGAGGAGAAGCCTGCCCATTTATAGAATTGACATAGTATTGAGTCAAGAAATGGGATTACTAGGTGATAGAAAAGTTTGTAGTTCAGCACAGTAATCCTGCCTTTTTTCAGGCAACATATGACGAAAATATGCTTTTTTGTTGTTGAATATTCATATATCAGATGGTATTTCTGGAATTTTCTACAGAAGTAGATTCAGCAGTCATTCACACGCATAATTCATCAAGTGTGTTTCATCTTTATAGTGTTTTCACTTGGGTTACTTTATGTCGCATATATTTGGAATGAAACATAGTCTGTTACGTGATAGTTGGAAACTCTACTTGTGAGACTAGTCGACACTATTTCACTATTCACTTATCAAAATTACGGTAGTTATTCAAATAAGTCTACTAAGCATCTTTAAACTGCTTATGCTGTATAGTTTATTAGATAGAGATTGTTCTGTAGATGCTTAATTCACTAATTTAGACACATTCAGATCCAGTGCACAGAAGTAAGGGAAAGTCACTGACCAAGGAATTACTGAAGAACTTATACTTTTCTGTTCATATTTGTTTTCGAAGCATAACTTGCCTTCAGTGGAACCAGACAGTTGAACGGAATTCAAATCCACTCAGCTACTCTGTGCACATGCATGCATTAGACAATGAGCCACACTTGTTGTGTCAGGGCTAATGATACTACCTGGCTGCCCAAACCTCTGTAGGTGGAGCGGGGACCAGACATTAAGTAATGTTCACATTGGGCACAGAATGCTAACTAAAAGATGTAAATCAATTGGTAGGGTTATGAGTCTTCGTCGACTGAGTTGGATGGGACATATATCAAACAGGTGAACAGAACATCTATGTTTTGATCTGTGGTATATATTATTATTATTATTATTATTATTATTAGTCCCTTGGGTTCCAAATGGAACATAGGGCTTCAGTAGCACGTCTCCAGTGAACTCTGTTCTCTGAAATCTTTTAAACCTGGCTCCACGACAGCCAGAAGCTCTCATTTCCTCCTCGCACGACCTCCATGTCACCCTCGGAAGTCCAACTCGTCGCTTCCCATGGGGGTTCCACTCGACGTTCTGGCCTGGTGCGTGATGTCCCCAGTTGGCCTTCTCAGTGTATGCCCAATCCATCTCCACTTCCTTCTGCATATTTGTTGGGTGATAGGTTCTTGATTGGTTCGTCGTCAAGCTAGAGTTCCTTGCTGCTTATTCTTTCTGTCCATCTGGTCTTCAGTAGCGAGCCAGTGTAGGCAATTGTTGATGATTGTCTGTAGTGTATTGGAAATCCCTTCCGTAACGCGCCAAGTCTCTGAACCATACAGAAGCACTGATTTGACTTTGGTGTTGAAAATCACCATTTGTTCCACATGCTGAGTGCAGAAGATCTCCACACTGGTTTCAGGCTAATGAACGCCTTTCTTGCTTTTCCGATCCTGGCTTTGACATCCTCGTCTGTGCCGCCACCTGTAGTTGAAACAGTGCTTCCTAGATAGGTGAAGGAGGTTACTTCCTTCAAGTTTCTCCCGCTGATGGTGATTGGAGTTTGTTGTTGTTGTTGCGTTATCTTCATCACCTCTGTCTTCTCTATATTCACTTGAATGGTGTCCCGTCTTCGCTGCCCTGCTCTGCCTCTTCTGTCAACTTGTTAGTTTTCGCCTGTAGATCCTCAAGTTTGTGTGACACCAGACACAAGTCATCGTTGGCGAAATCCAAGTCTTCTAGGTTCTTTCCTGCAATCCAGCCAGGGTATCCCCCCCCCCCACTGTTTGCTGCATGATCCAGTCGACCACAACACAATCAGGAATATCATGGGTGACAGTAGGCAACCTTGTTTCACTCCTGTCTTCACTTCACTTCAAAAGCATCACTGAGCTTCCCATTGTGAATTACTTGGCCGGCATGTGGCATCTTCATATAGTTGTTTAATGAGGTGGATAAAGGTTTGCGGTACTCCGTAGTAATGAAGCAACTGCCAAATTAGTTCTCGGTCGACGCTGTCAAAGGCCTTCTCAAAGTCGATGAAGTTGAGGTAGAGAGTTGACTGCCATTCTATACTCTGTTCTATGATGATGCGAAGCGTTGGAATTTGGTCTGCACATGATTTGTACTTCCTGAATCCAGCCGACCTGTTTCGGTCGTAGTTTTGAATCCAGTGCACCCTTTAGCCTCTCCAGGATGATGCGGCTAAATATTTTGCTTGGAGTGGACAGGAGAGTGATTCCTCGCCAGTTCTTGAAAACATTGAGGTCTTTCTCCTTCGGCAGTTTGACAAGGTAGCCCTTCTTCCAATCGCCAGGCACCTTCTCTTCTTTCCACAACTTCTGCAATAGTGGTGTGGTGTGAGCATGTCCGCAGTTGTCTCTGCGTCTGTTTTCAGTGCTTCTGGCGGGATCCCATCTGGTCCTACTGCTTTCCTGGCTTTCAGTAACTCTATGGTGTTCAGGACTTCCACTTTTATTGGGGGATTAATGTTCACTTGTAGTTCAGCGGCTGCAGGTGGTATTTCTGGACGAAGTGCAGGTGGTGGTCGATTCAAGAGCTTCTTGAAGTGGTCGGCCCATCGTTTCCTTTGTTTCTCTTCTTTCGTAATTAAATTTCCGTCATCATCTCTTATTGGCTTCGTCTGCGTTGATTCCTTCCCAGATAGCAACCTGGTTATTTGATACAATGTCGTCAGGTCTCTCTTACCTACAGCCTGTTCTGCTTCACTTGCCTGTGTTTTGTAGAAGTGTCTTTTGTCTTTGCGTGCACTCTTCTTCACTTCTTTGTCCAGTGTAGTGTTTTATACATTGTGCTCAGTTTCTCTTGTGGTCGTTGTGCATCCTTGCACTGGATTATCTTCTGCTTCACCATCCTCCTCTCCCTGCTCTATCAGCTTCCAGGTATCCGTCGAGATCCATTCCTTGTCTTCTTTCTTCCTCCTTCCTAATACTGTTGTGCAGGTTTCTTTCCACATAGCTTTCAAAGACTTCCAGTGTTCTTCCACGCAGGTTTCTTCAGTGATGTTGCTTGATATCTCCCATTTTGTCTTGATGGCTGACTGATGTGAAGATTTCTTTTGTAGTTTCGTCCTTCAGTTTCCGAGTGTTGTACTTGAACTGTGGTCTATCACCAGCTTCCTTGAAGGCTTTTAACTTGATTTGGAAGGTTCCTTGCACTAGATGGTAGGTGGTGTGAACCTACATCTGCTCCTCTTCTTGACCTTGTGTCAAGTAGACTGCGTCTCCATTTTCTTGAGATTGAGATAAAGTCGATTTGATTTTTAGTGTGTCCATCTGGTGAATGGTGGAATCTGTGTCGCTTTGTGGATATCCTTGTGCTTGAACACACTGCCTCCAATCACCAAATCGTTGAATGCACAGAATTCCGCAAACAGTTCTCCATTCTCGTTCATCACCTCACCTAGCGCTTCTCGACCCATGGTTAGTTCTCTTCCTGTGTTGTCTCCTCCCAGTTTGGCATCCATGTCGCCCATTAGAATGGATTTTGGTGTCGCCAACTGTGGTTGGGTCTTGTCCAGTGTTGATTGGAGTTGTCTGTAGAATTCCTCCTTTTTCTCTTGCTCTGCATTATTTGTAGGTGCATAGCATAGCATTGTATGATTGTGACCTTCCTTCCTTTGAGTTGAACCTTGCTGTCATAAACCTGCAGGGGAAATTGGTTCCCACTGCATGAGAGCCTTCGATGCTCTTGAGGACATCATGATAGCCACTCCAAAACTCAGTGTGCTCGTGGTTGTCGTCTGGGTGACAATATCGGAGTAGATTATTGATTCTCCAGTTGACAGTTTGGAGAGTCCACTCCCATTCCATCTGCTTTCGCAAATTCCAAGCACTTGGATGTGATACCTTCTCATCTCTTTTGCAATCTGGGCTGCCTTGCTAGGTTCAAACATGGTGCGGACATTCCATGTCCCCACGTTTACTTTCGCTTTCATCGAGAGAAGACACATCGGCCAATTGGTTTCCCGAAGGCTTTCACCAACTGGCGTCATTTCGCCTCTCCAATTCCAGCGAGGAATAATTTTGTTATGATTTTTTATATTTTGTTTGTACTTTGAAGTTTGTTTAGCGGTTAGATTTGTTTTACGGGTTAGGGTTGGTAGCCCTATGCCCAACCTTTCCTCTTTATTGGGGCTTAGGACCGGCTAGTAACTAGTGAACTAGTTAACCGGGCGAGGTTGCGGTATATATATATATATATATATATATATATATATATATATATATATATATATATATATATATATATATATATATATATATATATGAACGGTATAACCCTCCGACGTGATACACTTAACGATAAAACAAAAATTTCTCAACACGATACTTAACCGACACTAGAAAAAGAGGACAGTGGGATTTCGGGTTTATTTACTTCACCCGAATAGTACAATTATGGCCAGAAGTTCAGTTGTTTATATACCTTTTTAAGGGCCTTGAACAAGTAGAACAAAATAGCATATTAAAAGTATAAAGTGGACCGATCAGCGTTTCGTATCTTAAACCCCAGTAAAAAGCTAGTTGAGTATTGCATGGAGCCAAAAAGGTGCAAAAATAAGGTTTAAATTTTACAATGAAAATACACGTATTATAGGTTAAATTTTTTAGAGATTAGACACTCCTAACAATCTAGTTCAATATGTCATACTAGCTGAATTAGGTCAGCTCAACACATTCATGAAATCCTTAACTACTAGTCTCATTTAGGTAGCGAAGTTTAATTTACATGAGTTATTAATGTTAGATACTTGCGCACACAATAGCACAGATTTACTCACTTTTTGTTACCTTAGAAATTTTGGACATTTTACTAGCCTTTATTTATTTATTGTCTTTTATCATTCTTTCCTACCTTAACAGCATCCCTTTTGCGTTCACTTACTTTACCTGTACTCTCGTGAAGTGTTCGCAAGTTGAACTAAGACATTTCTGTGCCAGACTTTTCGCCAAACTTTATCAGTCATATTGATCTCGGTGACTAGCAGAGGAATCCAAGACTCACGTTTTGTCCGATTTGGGACTCCTATAGGAGCCCATTTGCCAACAGAAGTCGAACAATTCGGCCCCGTATAGCAACGGGAAATTGGAAGTATCATGACAACAACTGACACCCGTTGCACAAGAGGTAGGTATCGCGCCCCAATGACTTGATAGATAGCACTCAGGCATGAAGAGTAGTGGGTTTGAGCACCAGTGGGAACATTATCACTCACTGGGGTACAGGTACATCCGACTGACGAGTCTCAAATAGGACGTAACGCGCATCCTGGATTCATCTGCTAATCACCGAGATCAATACATCATCATTAATAATCAGCACTATCGAGGCATCCACATAGGAACCCATCTGCAAACAGGTCGAGCAATTCCGCCCTGAATAGCGACGGGGAATTTCAAATGTTTACCGGTCAGTCTGTGTGTTGGGTCACTCAAAAGTATCTTGAATCATAATAAATAGAACTGCCGACTCAGTACATAGGCTTTCATTTGATTGCTAAGTAGGATTTCTTTTAAATATTTTTAAAGAATGCCTACCAGTAATTTTATTGGTTGGAAACCCTTTATAAATGCAAGTCAAACATTATAATCGTAAACGTTCAAATCATATCTGCTATTCAAAGCATCTATCTAGGAGGTTCCATTTCACTGTGTTACACATTCTCATGTGAGATATAAAATTATTGACAGACACTGTGATCTCTGTTTCATTCCTTGTTCGATTCGTTGTGTTTCCCTTCAGTTATCATGATTGCTTTGAGTATATACGGATTCGTCATGTTACATATACAATAATTGTCGCTTATGAAGTCGCTATATCCACGAATTTTAAAATTTGCTTAACCATTTGAATTACCAGTAATCATTGGCTATTGGATCACATCATAAGTGATCGGTGTCTATTTTTTGTATATTTTACTAACACTAAAAATATGGTGCTTGATGTTCACACGTTTCTTTTGTGTCTAAGTTGAATGCATTTTAAAAAATTTTTACCTTTCTAGCGCTGCAGCGATTGCCGCAGCAAATCGTACAAATGTCATTTCTGATATACAATCCCCTGTTGCTACTCCTGATGCAGTAACAGAAACAGAACGTCCTCCATCTAGTTCTGGTGAGGTTGATATTAATGCACAAATTAGTTCTGAAGTTGATGATAAACCTTCAGACTTTGAAAAAGTGAAAACACCTTCACCCCAATCTGATCATCAACCTGAAGTTGTTTTAACTTGTGAAAATCCTGATGATGTTTCAGTCGGTACTTCGGATAACACTAAATCAGAATTAATTGATCCTTTATCTCCTGAGGAATACGAGCGTATCTATCAGGAATATTATAAACATTACTATGCACACTACTATACACATTACTCCAACCAATGGGCTATATGTGGACAGATCAAAGATGAACAAGTCAATATTGTTCAAGAAGCTGCCAAAGCAGCTGCTATAGCAGCTGCAGCTGCTGTCAACGTTGTCCAGCAAACACGTTTAAAAGCCAGTACTCCAGTCATATTTGAGTAAGTTTTTTTATTGATAATTCAATTTATAGCTCAAGGTATATGTATGTGTATGCTTATGCTTATGTTTCACGTTTAGACTTTTCAAGATTTCAGCTATGTCGATGGTCAGTTTGCGATACAGAGTGAAACGATTTCACAATTACATTTACGGTCATGCTTATTTAGTGGCTATCAACCTATGAGTCACGAATTTGAGCCTCACTTCTCACCTACCATGGTTTGGGCAGTCAGACAGTATCATTGGCCCTCATACACAATAGGTGTGACTGATTGCCTACTGCACGAGTGTACACAAAGTTGCTGAGTGATGTGGATAAAGACTTATTCGATTCAAAAATGTTGGATTTGTTAAGATAAAAATACTATGTTGATATAACTGTTTAGAAGTAGGATTTATTGCCATTTTGTATGGTTTATTTGTTTTCTGATATGTCATTTTACACGTAGAATATCAGTACAGAGCATGAAGTCTGGTGCTTGTTGTCCGTGTTATTACGGTGATCTGATTCATTTGCGTATACAACCAATATACGTGACCCCAATGCACCATCATTTATAAAAATGAGACAACTGATTTCAAGAACAACATGAGATGATATACAATATGGAGTTATTTCTGAGCTGACTGACAAAGTCAACGTAGAACCTCGCACACAGGTGCATCAGTTCAAGTTGCCACACTTTACAGTAGTACATAAAGAACAAATGGATAGAAAAATAGAGGTATCAAAGAAGATAAAGTTGCATGAAAGAATAAAAAATGTGAAGATAATAGTTAGTGCAAATGTTCAAGCTTTAGAAGATGTCAAGGAATGAATACATTGTGACGAATTTCCAACCATGTCACCAACAGCCAGTCGTGAAGCACTGATTGCTTTCTCGTCAGGGACACCAGGCAGGCAGTCTTTACATCACTCCCATACGACTCAGAGCAAGAGTAAGAGATATGATTGACTAGTGCCACGTTTTGATCTGGTCACTCTGAACTCTTTTCCAACCGAATTCAACTTTTTCGCCTAGCATGGCACGTCCAGGTGGGTGGTGACTGGGTATGAGTAGTACATATCTAAGTCGTCTCAGTGGACTAAGGTTTACAACGTCATCAATCGGCTTGTATGTCTTGTCTAGTACCCATCGTTTGACGTCAACATTATTCACACAATGATTCTACGAAACGAGCAATTTTACGAAGGCATGGGTGATCGAAACCCTGTAGTCGCTTCATGTCAGCTACTTTAACCGGCTCTGTCTCACAACTGTACAACAGGACAGAAGCAACTGCAGTGCAGTAAACTCGTGCTTTGATAGATAGTCAGTTATCTTTCCAGTCAGTGCTACAGGTGACTCAAAGTGGGAAATACCAAACGGGCGTTCTATATCCTAGCTGTGATTTTGTCAGCAACCACCGGGTTCGTGTTGATACAACTCCCCAAGTAAGTAAAGTAGTCTGCTCGTTCCGGCACTTGATTCTCTAACAATAAACTGGGAGTGGTTGCAGACCGGTCCCGGAGCATCGTCTTACATTTGACAGGTGCTAGGTGCATCCCAAACTTACCCAGATTTTTGCTCAATGCGTTCAGAAGACCCTACATTTTGTCAGCGTCTTCACCTAGCAGGACAATATCATCTACATATTCCAAGTCAACCAGATGACTTCTTGAAAAATGAAGTCAAGAATGCCTAAGGTTTTGTCCATTAGTACGTCATATATACAATAATAGATGAGAGGTCAATGACAACCTCTTGAACTGAGCTATACAAAAATTTAACCAATTAAGTCTAAAGTAATACGACCAATTACACTTATCTAAGATTGAAGTTTCCCACTTTTCGTCTGACATAACACTTCAAACCTACTGATATGCAAAACTTAGAAACTCTCCGTTAGTGCTGAAATGTTGCAGTCCTTGCTTATATTTATTTCGTATCTAGGATGATCGACTAACTGACTGACTGATTGAGGATGATATCTTAATGGTTAGTCCAGGATTTAGTAATTTAACCTTGGCATTTTCAGAAAGAAATAAGGCCTTGGTATAAAAACTCCATTGAGAATTTCGAATTTTTGAGCTCTGAATATCAACCATTTACAATATAAGTTCCCAAATAAAAATTTTTCACTTACACTCACACCTTTTTAATTCAGTTACATTTTCGGGTTTGTTGTTATAGGATACACTGCATTGGTTACTACTGAAATTTATCTGACACGTATTTTGTATCGGGTTGGTATTCATCGTAGACTGACATCAGTTGAAGAAACAATGGAAACCTGGGAGCACTGGACAGCTGTTTCGTTCTAGTATGGGACTCCTCAGCAGTGCGTACCCACGACCCCACCAGGGATCGAACCCGTGACCTTCAGTTCCCGTGACCCGCACGTTACCACTGAGCCATTGTGTCGGAATCCAGTGGTCAATATTTCCAACTTCTGTCAGTTCACGACATAGCTCAGTGGTAACGTACTGGCCACGGAACCTGAAGGCCGCGGGTTGGATCCTTGGTGGGGACGTGGGTACGCACTGCTGAGGAGTCCCACACTAGGACGAGACAACTGTCCAGTGCTCCTGGGTTTCCATTGTTCCTCCAACTGATGTCAGTCTACGATGAATACCAACTTGAGAAATCTCCCCGGAAACCCTCAATTTCAGTGTTATTTTATCATTGTGGAATAAAGTTTTCGGCGGTTAAGTCACACGAACCATAGGATTCTCATCTAAGAAATTCTAATGGATGGGTTTTCGGTACTCAGTTTATATACTAAAAAATATATCTCATTTCTTTCTAGTTGAGATGTATTTGATAAGTAGATGGCATTTTTGGGCGTTATCAAACAGTTTTGCAGGTACATCCAGCTAACGAGTTCCGAGTAGGACGAGACGCGCGTCCTGGATTCTTCTACTAGCCACGCCCTAACAAATTACCTTAATTAACGTTCAGGCAATATCGAGGCATCCGCATAGGAGCCCATATGGCAATAAAGGTCGAACAATCCGATCCAATAAACAACGGAGACTTCCAAATATGTCAGTAAATAGTAATAACTACTACTCGTTGTACAAGAAGTAGCTATCATTCCTCTGTGGCATATTGAATAACGCCTTAGTATTTGAAGCGATGGGTACGAGTTTCGAGTCTCAGTGGGAACAACGTCACTCACTGAGGTGCAGGTAAATCCATATGACGAGTCCCAAATAGGACGAAACACGTCCTGGATTCCTCTGAAAGCCACAGCTAAACAAATTACACTATTAAACAGTGGTAGAAATATGGTAAAGTAATACTGTCGTTCAATTAGATAGGTCAAAAAATCGAAATGCACTCACCACCACCTTGTGCACATTTGTCCAGTAGACAGTAAGCCACACTTATTGTGTGAGGACTGTTAATAATACACTACCTATCTGCCTAACCCCCAGTAGGTGGAGCGGGACTCGGACCCATGACCCATCGGTCGAAAACCACTAGTAAACCAGAGCCCGTTTCAAATATGACACCTCATGGTTGATTGTTTTATATGTATGTATATATCAGGTTTGATTTCTGAGTAATTTTGAAAACTTCAGTATACATGTTGGGTGCTAGTGTTTTGTAATGTATAAATATGAATAACACGCATGAATTATGTTTTGTGGTGTGTTGAGAAGAACAAGTCAATTTCATCATTTTACGTGTCAAACTATATGGTATCAACAACTTCACTGTTCATATCGTTTACTGTTTCTTTTTGTAGACCTCCGATGAATGATGAACAGCGTGGTATTATAAACAAAATGGCAGAGTATGTTGTTCGTAATGGTTTAGAATTTGAAGAATTGGTCAGTCGTCAAAAAAGTAAAGATCCACGATTTGCATTTTTGAAATCTGATCATCCATTGTATTCATATTACATGGCTAAACGAAAAGAACTAGATCCTGATGATAGTTTGACTAAAGCTGCAGATGCTAATTTCAATGATATTCCTCCTCCAAGATCACCAAAGTCACGTTCCTCGAAAAAAACAGATTCTATTGACAAGGCTGAAGAATCCAATTTTGGTCCTAAATCAAAAAATGATTCTTATAGTAAGCAACTTATCTTTTAAATGTATGTAACTGTGACTACACTCATGGGTTTTGGTATAGGTTAAGGTACTTCACAAGTATATGCATAATCTCATAGGTCATTAAAATAAAAATCAGCCTCCTATTAGAATGATTGTCAGTTTTTTCTTCTCCGATGTCCAAATAAAGTTATGAATCATAAGAAAAATTTCAGTGGGGAAATATGTTTTTAACAATACTGTTTTCGGCAGCCCTGCAACCCAGATTTACATAATTGATGGGTACTTTTAGTGGCAAAAAGTGTCAACTAATCAATAATTGAAACATGTAGAGTTAGCTGGTTTTAAGGAGAATGTGTGAAAAACTTGGTTTTGTGAACATACAATTCTGGCTTCGCCTTCCATATATTACTAAAGTGACAGCAATGCATAATACACATTGTGAAGTAGTGTATTCTCTGTCAACTAAATTTTGTAGGACATAACTTTTGATTGATTTAAATCCACCTTTAGTAAACCATGTCGGAAGGTGTTCACGTCGATGTTGAACAATCTATTTCTAGCTCCACAGAAATAAGTGAACTGATGCATTATACGCTAAAGCAGCAGACAGTAATCGTTTGTCCTTCGCACAGATGTTTTACCATTGGATGGTTAGTACAGTCAATGAGTAAATTTACGGTATTGAATGTTCTTTTAATTGTTTTTCAGTATTCGGCATTTCTTAAAAACGTGGTTGTTGTGTTGTTGTTATTGTATATGCCAGTTTTAATGGTTCCACTCTGGGTTGTTGTTGTTGTTATTAGATTCCACAGATTACTGTGATTATTTTCATCTGCTGACAACTAGATGATAACCTAAGCCAGAGTTGTCCATCTATAGTTGCACTGAAACTGTTGCCATTGCATCAGTTAGCTTGGAAAATATCTTTCCAATCCATGTATTATCACCATTGTAAGGCGACTATACAATCATGAAAGATATTGGACATCGATTTCAGTTTTAAGTGTATCTGATAAAACTGTTGATATTTTGGGTCATCCATGATTGAAAACCAAAGCCCTATCTTTTTTTGTGCAGCAACTATTTCACTACACTAGTGTAATGTAGGTCACTTTCTCCGTAAATGGCTGTGGTATGCACCTTACTGGATGCCAAAGGTCTTTTGTTTAATCCAGTGCCACAAGTATCGATTGTTTCAGTACTAATACTCACCGATGGTATACGAAGAAGGTCGTGTTGTATAATGAATTGGACGGAGTAGGGGAATGTCGACCATTGGATTTCGACCCAGTGGTCCAATGGTAACATGCCTGCTACGAAACCTGAAAGCTCTCTGTGTTCGATCCCTGGTGGGTGTTTACTGCTGTGAAGCCCAGCAGTAGGACGAACCAGCTGTTCAATTGTTCTCCAACTTGTATAGTTTCGTGGTGAAAACCACGGAACAATATCACTCACTGGGAGGGAGGTGCATTCAGCTGATGAGTCCCAAATAGGACGAAATGCGCATCCTGGACTTCATTGCTAGCCACTGTCTATCATTACTGTATAATTTAAAACACAGACATTATTAAGGGATCCACACAGGAGTACATATCCCAATAGAGACCGATCAATTCAGTCCAATCAACGATGGTGTAATACAAGCAATAACGCTAAATCCCCAGAAACCTCTGAACTAAATTAGTTATTATTGTACTAGTTATTAATATCCTTTCCTCGGGAAATTGAAGTGCGAAAATAATGAATGTCATCTACCAATTGACGAAGTTTACTCAAACCATCAAGTCTTACCTTTGTATTATTATTATTATTATTTGTCAGTTGGGTTCCTAGTGGAAAATAGGGCTTCAGTAGCACGTCCCCATTGCACTCTGTTCTCTGCAGTCTTTCAAACCTGGCTCCACGATTGCCCACAAGCTTTCATTGCTTCCTCACACCATCTCCTCCATGTCACCCTCAGCTGAGACGCTCAATTCGTCGTTTCCCATTCGATTTCCACTTGATGGCCTGGCCTGGCGCGTGATGTCCCCAATCGGTCTTCTTCAGTGTATGCCCAATCCATCTCCACTTTCTTCTGCATGTTTGTTGGGCGGTGGGTTGTTGGTTGGTTCGTTTCCAGCCAGAGTTCTTTGTTGCTTATTCTTTCTGACCTTCTGATCTGATCTTCAGTATCGAGTGAGCGAGCGTAGGTGGCGGCTGTTGATGTATGTCTGTAGTTTGTTGGAAATGCTTTTCGTGATGCGCCAAGTCTCTCAACCATATAGAAGCACTGACTTAACTGATATTAGTGTTGAAAATCCGGATGTTGTTCACACTTTATGCTGAGTGCATTGCAGTAGATCTCCACACTGATTTCAGATGGATGAAGGCCTGTCTCACTGTCTTTCCGATCCCGGCTTTGACAACCTCATCTGTGCCTCTGCCGCCTGTAGTTGAAACGATGCTGGCTAGGTAGGTGAAAGAGACAACTTCCTTTAGATTTCTCTTGTTGATGGTGGTTGGTGCTTGTTGTTGGTTAGGTATCTTCACCTCTGTCTTTTCTACGTTCATTTGAAGGAATTCCTGTCTTCCCTGCCTCTCCTCTTCTGCCAACTTGTTGGTTTTTGCCTGTAGATCTTGGAGTTTGTGCAACATTAGACACAAATCATCATCTTTGGCGAAATCCAAATCTTCTTCTGGGGCGTTTCCATCGGTCAAACAGCATATGCACGTCTCGCTTCTCACGGTTTGCTGCATTACCCAGTCGACCACAATCAAGAAGATCATATGTGATGGTAGTCGGCAACTTTGTCTTACTCCTGTCTTCACTTCAAAGGCATCACTGAGCTTTCCATCGTGAATCACTTGGCATGTGGCGTCTTCATATAGTTGTTGAATGAGGCTGATAAAGATTTGTGGTATTCCGTAGTGTTGAAGCAGTTGCCAAATTGCTTGTCGGTCGACGCTGTCAAAGGCCTTTTCAAAGTCGATGAAGTCTAGGTAGAGAGTTGACTGCCATTCTATACTCTGTTCTATGATGATGCGAAGCGTTGGAATTTGATGTGCACGTGATTTTTTCTTCCTGAAGCCAGCCAGCCTGTCGCGGTCGTTATTTTGAATCTAGCACATTTCTTAGTCTCTCCAGGATGATGCGGCTTAATATTTTGCTTGCTTGGGGTGGACAGGGATGGAGCATGATTCCTCACCAGTTCTTTCAAAGACTTATGTCTCCCTTCTTTGAAAATTTGACAAGGTAGCCCTTCTTCCAGTCAGTGGGCAGGTACCTTTCTTTCCTTCCTTACAAAACTTCTGCAATAGTGGTGTGGTGTGAGCATGTCCGCTGTTGTCTCTGCGTCTGTTTTCAGTGCTTTTGGTGGAATTCCATCTGGTCCTACTGCTTTTCTGGCTTTCAGTAACTTTATGGCGTTCAAGACTTCGGCTTTTGTCGATGGGCTTGTGTTAACTGGTAGTTTTGCGGCTGGGCTGCTGGTGGTGTTCGTGAACGAATTGGATGTGGTGGTGGATTCAAGAGTTTCTTGAAGTGGTCAGTCCACGGTTTCCTTTGTTTCTCCTCTTTGTTAATTAGGTTTCCTTCACTATCGTTGTTTTCATCTGCGTTGATCTCTTCCCAGATAGTATGGACGTAAATAAATGGACCTTCACACTTCCTTAAATAATTCCTCTAATGGTATATCAGATAGTTTCGCTTCTGGAGATAGAAACTTTCATAGTGCACTGATGTAGAATGATGGAAAACTAAGAGGAATTCTCACTGGTAAAGTGAGACTCTACTGGTTTTCCGTAGATTACTTACGAAATTAAACGTTTCATTTCTCACATATAGTGAGCTACTAGTTAACCTCTGTTCGGTGATTCTATTGTACAAATTTCCTGACGTGAAAAGTATATACCATGCCAAATGTAATTCATAGTGTATGATTATTTCATGATTCAGTGTGGATGCAGAATCAATTTTCGACGTTTATATTTAAAAAAGTGTTAAACATTTGACCTGTGAACATCAGTCAGTCAGCATAAACATGGGATGTAACAATACTTTGTAACTTTACATCTCATATCAACACGTTAAAAAAAGAGGTACAAAGGTGAAAAATAGAGAAGTGAAGAAGAAAGTAATAAGATATATTAGAGAACTATATAAAGAAAGGATGAGACAGTAATGTGATTCAATATCACAACTAGGTGGGTGCATCTGAGATCGAATTTCAATTTACTGGACATTGAAAAATTAAAATCAATAGTGTGTCTAAACAAGTATCACAGACTTTTGATTATGTCAAACCACAAAGTTGTGTCTAACTTTACAAAATCATCATCAACGTGGACTGACATCAGTTGAGCGGACATTGGAAACCTGGGAGCACTGGGCAGCTGTTTCGTCCCCAGCGGTGCGTACCCATGACGCCACACCGACAGGGGTCGAACCCGGGACCTTCAGGTTTTATGGCCAGCACATTACCATCGAGCCACTGGGTCAAAATCCAGTGGTTCATATTTCCAACTTCTGTTAGTTCACGACAGCACGATGACATTGGGTGATGGTCGCGCTATGTCGTGAACTAACAGAGGTTGGAAATATAGGCTCAACGGTAACGTACTGGCCAAGGAACTGAAGGTTCTGGGTCCGATCCCTGGTGACTTGGGGTTATGGGTGTGTACTGCTAAGGAGTCCCGTACTAGGACAAAACGGCTGTTTAGTGCTCCAAGGTTTCAAATGTTCCTTCAACTGATGTCAGTCCATGATGAATACCAACTTGGAAAATCTCTGAATCCCCACAAACCCGCAAATTGAATTTACAAAATCAACCCCTGAGAATCTGTTTTTTACGTTGAACTGTGGGAATACTAATAGATTGGAGGTGAGAGAATAACTATAGAGTTTTCTTTACCACAACTGTGATTGGTTCTACTTGTAAGAATTCAAGAAAAGATGTTAGTTATCGGTCAATACCTATTACCGAACCAGGTTTAACTAAATGCCTAACTAGTAAAAGCAGCCGGTTCAAGAGAACAGGTTCTGCATTGTTCTGGCTACTATAATTCTGCTTGTTGCATAGTCCAGCAGTTAGAAATCCAATCCTTGAGCTGTTTTGTTTGGAAATGTCGTGTTTAACCTGTTATATATATAAAAACTTTGACACGTGCCTGCAATACGCATATTTTATGTATCTAAATATCACTTTTATAGAAAAGTCTAAATCACCGGATTCCCATAAGGAAACTAAAAGCAGTTCACAAACGCATAATTCAGAACGTCAAACCAGCATTAGTTTCCGGTTAAGTCGCCCACCTCCCCCATCAAAATCTCATTCTCATCAAAATAACGAAGCCTCTGCGGAGGAGATTATGGATATAATCGAAGCTGCTGTTCAAGAGTACTCTGAATCGATCTCAAGTTCCAAACGAAATAAAGAACAACTCAACAGGTCATCAAGTATTCGAGAAAATGATGTTAAATTAAAGTCAAAAAAGCGAAGAAATCGATCACCCAATATTCATATTATACCTGGTATTCCTAGTCCCAGTTCATCATCTTTCTCAGAATCATCTCCACTTCGAGATGATAGTCCATACTGTGGTGTAAATCGTTCCTTTAGAGATTCTACTTCTGATTCTTTATGTACTTCGCCTGCTAAATCAACCGTATCATCTGAGCGACATGAAAGAACTGAACTGGTACCGAATTTTCAGTCTCCTCTCTCATCTGTCGGTAATATTCAATCACCATATGAGAACAATTTAAGTTCTCCAGTGGAGTTGACATCTAATTCAAGTACTCATTTGACTTCCACTTGGCCTTCATGTGCTCTTGAAGATTTATTAGGTAAGTTGCATCATTCTTACTGAATAATGCATGGTCTGCTTAAACATTGCTGTCACTTTTATATTTATTTGAATATCTGTAGCCTCTTCTGAACTGAATGGTGATCGAAGAATCTTCCCAACAGGATCATATTACATTAGGAACGGAGAAGGATCTTAACGAAAACTGACTATAAGCATTTGGGGGTTTACAAAAGTAGAAGAGACAAAAGAGTAATCACCGGCATTGGATAATTATCATCAATTATTTAAACTTATCAAATCAGCTTACCTGATAAAAGTGGTAATCAGTGAGAATATCATATGGGGAAGACGAGTCTTTTATAGCCTCCTCTCAAAAGGGTGGATTGAAACCCTGAACCAAATATTTCTACGAACTTACAACGATGCTTCAGTCCCATATCACTTGATTACAATCATTTTGAATGAAACATTTTCATGAGGCTTTCCATTGCTTCATAATTTAATGTTGTAACTAACCTACATCAGAAGAGGGTAGCAGATCCTGGTGCATTACCACCAAGAATAGTTATAGATGGTGATATATAGTTGTGCTAGTAAGATCCACGTTCTAATGGTTAGTCACTCTGGCTAGTACGAAAGCATAGAAACCTTCGGTCATAACTACCACTGAATAGTTTAGAAATTGTAAAGTCCGCATTTATTTAACACCACGTGAAACTGATAAAAAGTGAGACCTAGAAAGTTAGACAGATTTCACTTCTGGATGGAGGAATTGTGTTCAGGTGCTCATCCTTTAAACAAACATATCGCCGCCAGATAATATCAGTATTTATTCGAATGACGATAACGTTTAGTCTCATCGGTTGATTAGTTTTGTGGTAATACCTGACTGTGAAAATGGACCAACCACTCATCAAGACTCAACTCTGATAAACAACAGTCTACAAGCTTATGGAGATTTGCCATCCAAGGTGATGGTAACCAATCGTGTCTACTACCTTCACCTTTCCTACTTGATTTTTTCGCAGATGTGTAGAGGGAGGTAACTGGACATTTCTAACTTTTCAGTGATTGGTTTGATATCTAGACGGGATTAAATCTAGCCGGAGGACTGAGACGATATAGACTTGCTGGCGGAAGATGATGAAATTATAGGCTCTTCGGAAGGTATCAACTGAGGGTGTTTGGGTTTTGTATTTGTCATATGTTAGATGCTATTTCTGTAGTGGTTTTTGGTGTTGATAAACTTTTGGATAGGTAGATAGTTAGATGATTGGAGGTGTTTGTCAGTTCACTCAATTGCGGAGTTATATCAACTGTAGTAAGGTAGTTGCTGAAGAAATCTTGATAGAAGTACAAGTCACCTATTTGATATTCACCAACTTTCATCATATCTAGCTTCAATGAAGTATCTGATTGTTTTTCAGTGGGCAGGTATGCTTCACAACAGTCCTTATTCTTCAGGCCTTGAGACATTGTTCTTGAAGGTGGACGAAATAAGGACGTTACAGATTGTCAGCTGATGTTTAGTTAAAAGACATTCTTGAGAACTAGAAGTAATATTACGGCACCAAGTTCTGTGGTTTGGCAGCGTTTTGGAGGTTTTTTCTCTCAGTTAATAAACAGTAGGATGCTTTTTGTTTTCCAATGTATGACTCCCTTATAATGTATCTACTAAGAACTAGTCCGCATGCGTAGTTCTTCTTATGGATAAGAACGACTACGTTGGTGTCAAAAGGTAGGCATACTTTAACGTACGCTGTAATGTCATGTATTTACATTTACGTCGTTTTTCTGTTTATATAGACTATCGCTTTTTGCATAGGCTTCATCAGCCATTCTTTAAGGGACATAAGACATTACTAAATATCAATTAAGTTGTGCTTATTGTTGTCATAGGTCTCTTCATTTATCGACTATTACACTCTTTTGGTACGGCTATTTATATGATATGTAAATTTGAATTTTTTATCTCCATGTTATGATATCTTGCCTACCATCGAAGATTCCCACATTTTATTAGCAGTTTTGTTCACTTTATTCAGTTTTGAAGAAAGTTGAATAACATGAGTTAAGAGTTTCTCACAACGATTTCTAACAACTCAAGGGAGACATTTTCACATCTGACCACTTCTATATGCATATATCAATTCATCTGCTCTTATGGGGCCAGGTATATAGGCTGTTCAATGCGACTGTTATCTTAAAGGGTCCAAGAGTACTATCCCACATAGGTTACAAGGGCGCGATAAGGAGTGCTATGAGTGAACACATTTCAAGAACCTCCTTGTTCAAAGTCATCTATAAAGTGGGGAAAAAAAATCTTCCGAAGGCTGTATGTCTTCTTATTCCATATTAGATTTGTTTATTTGATTTATAACACACAGTGATACAGTATTATTTACGAAGAATTAGAGATGACAACACTATAAAAATCATATGTCGAAAGTAAGGTGCTTACGTTGATATGATTATGAGCAATAATTCAGTACAAGCGAGCGATAGTTAAGTACTTATTCAGTAGAATTCGACGAATATGCACAGAGGATACTTTGGAAGACGAAAGAGGAGCACTGATCGAAATACTGTTAGAAAATAACTATCCATCAAAATTTATCAGGCAGCACAAAAATAATCATAGCACCAAAGCCAGATCTTTAGTTTGTCCGAAAGAAGGATGTTTTTATCAGTCTTCCGTACAAACGTGACTCTCATAGTGCAATCCTTAAGCAGAGACCTAACGCCGATGTTAGAACGATTTACTATGTAGCCAGGGTTCGATTAATAGAAACTACCAAGCCCGTGTATTGCCCCAAACCCCCACATCATGTGGACGATAGTGTCACATCCTAATGTATCTACCAATTCAAATGTACGTGTGATGATACATACATAGGGAGGATTCATAGATCCATGCAAGTTAGGGCATCAGAACATATTCCAAAGTGACTTCAGGAGCAAATTAAACCACTTGAATCCATAAACGTTAGTAGCAGATATACAAGTTCTTCGGTCGCCAAACATCGTTGAGATAGGTCACAAGATTGATGTGGCTACTCCCTTTACACTTACTTACAATACGTGTTGGGGACGGATCCTTAAATTTGATGAGGCCTTAGCTATAAAGAAGTTCTAACCACCTTTGTATATAAACAATTTGTTGTCACATTAAATCTTCCTTGGTAAATCCAACTATGAAAACCATGTTCCATGTGCTATTATTTTCGCTCTATTAATTTTCATTGTTATTCGGCCTTTAATTCAGCCTTCCTACTTGACCTCTTTTCATTCTCTCACCCCTTATCTCCATCAATCTTCATATAAATACCCATGACAAGTACGTGTATGATCAGATAGTTCGGAATGTATTGCACAAATACATTACACGGTTCAGACAGTTTACGTCTTATTGTTTTGTCGAAGTTTATAAAGGAAACTAATTATTTCAATAATATATGACAGAAACGTCGTCATCAAGTAACTAATGATGTATCATTGTGTTATAAATCAAACAAACAAATCTAATATGGAATTAAACTCTACCTCAGTGCCCAAGTTCTACACTTAAATTAATATTTCAAGTTGTTATTCATCGTAGACTGACATCAGTTGGAGGAACAAAGGAAACCTGGGAGCACTGAACAGCTGTTTCGTCCTAGTATAGGACTCCTCAACAGTGTGTACCCACGACCCCACCAGGGATCGAACCCGCGACCATCAGTTTACGATTAATAACAACTTGAAATATTTCCAAATCTCCATAACTCCCTCAAAATTCAACTTATATTAATGTCGAAAACAAGATGTTCAGCGAAGAGGACTCCTATCAGCGAATTTATTCTCAAGCTGTACATTCGTGTATATATATATATATATATATATATATATATATATATATATAATATTTAAAGACTGTAATCTGTGGGGAAGCCTTGACTTAGATAATGGGGGGGGGGGTTGAAACAATAATAATGGTGGTCATAGTAATAGTAATGTTGGCAGTTGATGACGTAAAGGTCGAGTGATAACAAAAAGGGGTTACGTAAGACTTTCAAATCGTTTATAAAGTCCATGTAGATTAAAAAGGGGTTGAGAACGTTAATAAACAATCAAAGGATTAGGTAATATAAATGAGACAAGTTAATTGGAGTAAATTGAAAATGTTTTCTTAAAAGTTACGATTATTAGGAAGATCAAATGAAATAACACCAGAAACAATTAAATATAAAAATAAAGTGATAATGACGATACAAGAGTACTAAGATTAATCTGACAAAAAGGGGAAGGGGGTGGAAAACGAAAAAAGAGGACGAAGCGCACCAAGACTAAAATAAATTAAGACCAAGATAGAGACAAAGAGCGTACATACTTCTTTTGCACACAAAGGTCAGGCTTCAGTTCATGGATAGACAAGGCCTCTGCCGTTTTCAGAAGCTGAACACAGAGGAAACTTGAGATGTTTGGGCGAATTCGATAGACAACCTTAGAATTCTTGTTTGGGTCGGTTGAATGGTTGAAATCGATTAAATGCTCAAGGATAGAACTTCTGATGCATTTCCTTTCACCCTTATAAAACCAGGCCGGAATATGTTCTCGAATACGTGTTGACAGCAATCTTTGACTAGCAACATTATTATTATTATTACTATAACCACCATTATTATTGTATCAACCCCCCGTTATCTAAGTCAAGCCTTCTTCACAGATTACAGTCTTTAAATGTCATATATATATCACGAATGTACAGCTTGAGAATAAATTCGTTGAAAGGAGTCCTCTTCGCTGAATATCGTGTTTTTGATGTCACAATGGGAATAATAAACGTATTATACCAATGTCTTTATATGCTCTGCATTGCTGAAGCTCTTGCCTTCCATATGGAGAAATCTGAACTGTGTACATGATTGAAGATTGTTCAGTCCCTTTCTCCTTTCATGATCTTAGTTTTCAGTCCTTAACTTCTCCTCTCCCTCCCCTTTCTTTTCTTTTCTCTCTTTTAAAGCTATTCACTTCTAAAGTAATTTGCTAATCTTTCTTGTTGCTATGCTTTTTATGATCACAATTCAGTTTCCACTTTTGTCATTGTGTCATGAAACTTCTTTTGATGAATATTCACTACTCATCACAGTTTTTTTTTGATTTTGACAACAGCTGATATATTGACACCATTTTGTGTTGAGATGCTTGACAAACTTTTTTTAGTAATCAAATCCTTATATTAGAAAAATGTATAAATTTGCAATTGTATAGCTTTGAAAATGTAATTGCTGAAAAACATTTGTGCTTCCTTCTCAAGATCCATATGTATGTCGATTACGAAGGTGTAGATTAATATGCATAGTTATTGTTAATATGGTATCTATTGTTCTTATGAATAATAAGGCTTTGTGTTTTTTTAAGTCTAATTTACAATGATTTTCATTATCCTTGTGACTATACCATCTAATTCAAATTTTATACCTTTTTTGTGCAAGTAACAAGTCGACGTTGTGTGTTAAGAATTCAGAGGTGATGTTTCTTTATGAACAGCAGACTGGTATCTATTCTTTGACTGTACTAAAGTACTAAGTATCTTCGAACTTTATATTTTACCTTAAAATGAATCATAAACTTTTCTTACCCTTTAATTACTTAACTATCCTACATCACTAAATCTAAATCAGTACAGTGGATTTTTGAGCACATTTCTTAACTGATTTCTTTTTGTTGTTTGTATTCTTTATCCACTTATGCAAACGATATAGATATACATGAACCTACAAGTCTACTGGACTTCTCTGCAGATGGTTACCAGGTTACAATCCCTTCAGCTAAAGATGAGCGTTTACGAGAGGAAAGACGTAAAAAGGCTGCTCAGCTAGTTCATCAATTGAAATTAACAAGTTCAATCACAAAAACCACCTTGAACAGTAATTCCACAAGTGTTAAACCTGTAGCAAACAGTACTTCTTCGAAGATGACTAATGACCGACACCGTGTATCGCCTCCACCAGCTCCAGATTCTGTCCCTGCAGCAGTTGCTCATGCTGTTGTCGCTAACCTTAAACGTCGTCAAGAGGCTCTGGAAGCTGAAAATAAGGTATATGAATTTCTTTTATTCAAGTACTTCAGTAACACAAAATCTGTCATCCAACTTTGTGATATAACAGTTGACTGTTTTAGTAATTTACTGTATTTATGTGCACTACAATTTTATGTGGAAAATATTCATATGATATGCATATTTCTTTTTTCTAATATATAAAGGCTCGTAAAAAGCGTCATCGTTCACCGCCTGCGGCGTATGCACTCACACGTAATCGAATACATGATAAATCTCCAAAACAATCGCCAACTCCGAAATGGGATGCCTATGATCGTGAAGTCCTTAGAGATCGGGAGGATCAATATTCTAAATCTATGAGAAAACATCATAAGAAATCTCACTATTGATTGTATTTATGAAAACTATTTTGTAAACACGTGTACATAAATTGTATTAATTATTTATGTGAATTAGCTCTTGAGAATGCCCAAAAGTGTGATGTTAAATAGGCCCCCCAAAATTTGTTCTCCGTTTTTGTTAGAAATATTCGTTTTAATACTGTTATTAAAGATTTCTAAAATAATATGATATCCTTATAAGAGTTTCAACAAGCTCCAGTCACCATCAACGGAAGAAACTTAAAGGAAGTAGTCTTTTTCACCTATCTAGGCAGGGCAGCACTGTTTCAACTGCAGGCGGTACAGACGAGGACGTCAATGCCAGGATCGGAAAAGTAAGACAGGTGTTCATTAACCTGAAACCAGTGTGGAGATCTTCTGCACTCAGCACAAAGCGTGAACAAGATCCGGATTTTCAACACCAATGTCAAGTCAGTGCTGCTATATGGTTGAAAAACTTGACGCGTTACGAAAGGGATTTCCAATAAATTATAGATATTCATTGACAGCTGCGTACACTGGCTCGATACTGAAGATCAGATGGATGGCCAGAAAGAATAAGTAACAAGGGACTCTGAGAACGAACCAACCAAGAACCTATTGCCCAACAGATATGCAGAAGGAAGTGGAGATGAATTGGGCATGCCCTGATGAGGCTGACTGAGGACACCACGCGCCAGGCCAGGCCATCATGTGGAAATCGAATGGGAAACGACGAATTGAGCGTCCGAGGTGAGGGTGATATGGAGGAGATGGTGTGAGGAAGAAATGAAAGCTTGTGGGCAGTCGTGGAGCGAGGTTCAAAAGATTGCAGAGAAGAGAGTGGAGTGGAGACGTGCTACTGAAGCTGTATGTTCCACTAGGAACCCAACTGATAAATAATAATAATAAGAGTTAACCTGACTTACTACCAAGCTAATTTGCTAGGTGAAATGTAGGAAATCAACCTGGTTAGGTTACCTGCATATGAGCAGCTCAATTAAAAAGACTGTTAATATTTGAGGACTTCTTTTGCACTTTGGAAAGTAAAAAGTCGTTTTCGTCTGTGATCGAAGTTACAATTGTTATCGGAAGCGGGTTAAATGAAAATCAACATTTTAAGTCATCAACTGTTAAGACAAAAGTTTTCGATTTCAACCTTTATTTCATGTTACTGTATGGCTAATGAAAACCTTACTGGACAACTTTGTCCTATAGTTGACTAGTCAAAATAAAATATCGACGTAGTTCATGAAAACTGTATATAGACGGTATACTTTTATCGAATGAAGTGTCTTCTTTACTGTCTTCTGATTTTCATGGCTAGGTTCTGTAAGAGAACAATTGCTATTCGTATGTAATCCAAGTGTCTCATCACGTTATTATCCACTCAGTCATTTCAATCGACTCAAAATGAAACATCTCAACTGAAGTTAATCGAAGTTCTTAAGCAGAAGTTGTCAATCCAGTTGCCGTTATCATCTCATTCAGATGAATATGAAAAGATTTCTAATTCTATCAATGAGTTTAATTATGATCCAATATCTGGTCTCATATTTGTTTCATGCTTTGATTGATGTAAAGATTTTCTTCATATTAAATACTCCATGTTCGATGATTTAACCGGATTGAAAGGTAATATGAAAACAACAGTTGTGAAAAAACTCGTATCATCCTTAGGCATGTATCATGGTTCTTAGACAAATAGAATGTAGCATACTTTCACGTAATAAATTCAACACTAAATATATATTCGTACATCTCACCGAAGCTGCGATCGGTGTAAGTTAGCACTTTATATCCTTGAAATTCTGTCAATGATAAAGCTACATGGATTAGTATGGCTCTCCTGGTAGTTTAGTATATACGCATTGTCAGACGATGCATATAAGTACACCGATCCTGATGTAAATTATGTGAGATAATTGTGTTATAGAAGTTTAATGATTACATATGGAATGCTGAAATATATACGTGAATGAATGCATACTGATGTTTTAAATTGTGTGGTCAGAGCAAAAACAGCTCAGTTAGTTGCTCACTTAATATAACACGTGATTTATTATATTGATATTCTAGCTGAGTTATTACCTGAAGTTTTACTGATAATGTGATTTCTAAATACACTGAATAACCCTATCACTTTGACACTAATAACTGTAGAGATCTGTTTCTGTCCTTGAGCACATCCAACAGAGCTAAATTAACAGCTATTGATTAACCAAGTAAAGAAATTCACCATAAACTGCTATTTAAAAGCATGATGTAAGTCTGTATAAGTTTCTTTGAACGTTGACTCACACACACACACAATTGAAAACATTCAAAAAGCAATGAAATGAAAATTTTCAGCGGTTACTGAAGGGGATAAAGTTCACGTTCTTTACGCAACATTCATGGATGAATTTTCCTACTCCTCATTCAAAATTTTCTTTATGCTGCATATTCAATAAATAAACGTGGGCTAACAGGCTGCTATAACAAATAGTATCTCTGCTGAATATGGTACATCGGATAGCATCAAATTGAGAGAAACATAAGAGCGATTAGAAGACGATGCCGCGCCAACCTCTGTTTGATCTGATCATAGTAGGCTTCCTTATTAAGGTGAAAAATACAACCTAAATCGATATTTGAAGGCTTCAGATTACATAATGCAGAATTCATCATACTGTAGATGCACCTACACCTTAAGGTTGTAGGTCTGATCCCTGGCGGAGTCATTGGTGCGCACCGCTGAGGAGTCCTGTAATAAAACGAAACAGCCGTCCAGTGCTCTCAAGTTTTAAATGGTTTCCCAACTAATGTCACTTTGTGATGAATACCCACCTAAAATCAATAAATAAACCCTACAAACCTCAAAATAGAACTAATCTAGTATTCATTTGTGACTAGCTTCGAGACGTGACCCGGTGAGGCCAACCAAGTCAAACATGAAGATAGTTACTCAACGATGGCAACAGACGAAGGTCGCTCTATTTCGTGGACGGACAGAAGTAGGGAATGTGGACCACTGGATTGCGACCCAGTGCCTCATCGGTAACGTGCTGGCTACAGGACTTGAAGGTCCTGGCTTCGATCCCTGGTGGGGCAGAGTTGTGGGTGTTCACTGCTGAGAAGTCCAGTAATAGTACGAGACAGATGTCCGATGCTCATGGGTTCCCGATGGTTCTCCAACTGGTATCAGACTGTGATGAATACTAGCTTGAAATATTCATTTCTCCGTTTTCGATTGCGAAATCTTCTACGCTTATTCAAACCATTAAAAGAAGCGTTTAAAAGTTTACCAATGTTGATCTTCTAGTGGTGTTAACTGCTGAGTTGGAAGACTTGAATGCAAACTTAACGTAAATAGAAGCTATTTCATGATTAACTGGGAGATATTTTTTTACCATTATTATTATGTCTACAGATGGTATAAAAAAAATTTATTATTTGCCACATTTTAGCTATCAGTAAGGTTCAGTGAGATATTCACTTGATAATAAGCTCAAAGAAGTAATAACTTGCGAATGCAAATTTCATTTTCCCAGTATCACAGGCCAATACTCTCTCTATGCTTGTATGAGCATAGCTAGTTGACTGATTCAACACTACAGTATGACAAACAAACTTGATGACTCTTTCTAGTTGAAACCCAGCATATAATGTAACCAGCTTATGAAGCATAGATTTATTATTATATGCCTTCAGTGTTGAAGTGATCACCTGGTTGAGTCTAAACAATCTTTTAGTAGTCTATAGGCTTATAGATTACATTTCAAACAACTCATTTATATTTACTAATAATTATTTCGTAGCTCAGTTAGTAGAGTATCGGACTGGTGATTCTTTGGTCGCTGGTTCGTGTCCCAGTTTGGTTCAAATTTTCACTTCACCTTCAATCATCATTCAGTATCAATAATACAAATCTACCAAATCACGCCTATCTCATATGGTCAAATTGATAATATAGAACTTATCAGTTAAATATATTTCAACCTGATAAATAGTATTTGTTGTTCACAATGAAGTAGGATAGTTTCACGATGATAAAGCTGACGACAGTAAAACGACGTAATATCAGACTAGGTATATTACAGAATAGAGTAGTAGACACTAGAAGAATGGGCAATAAATGATAGGTAATTAAAGAAAGAACTTTTAATTGGAATGTGCAATCTGTTTATTATTATTTAATTGTTTGATCATATGCATAGCACAAATGTTGTTGTAGTCTTTGAAAATTATTTTTGCACACCGATTTAATGATAATCCTTTTAAAGAATTAAGGTATTATTTCATAGAATTGTAAAAAGATTTCCAATTCTGATGGTGTAAATTTTCCATCTCCTAAATACAAAAAAAAAGAGAAGGTGAATATAAAATACATGATTACAACAGCTTGTTATCGAAGATCAACAGGCGAAAACTAACAAGTTGACAGAAGAAGCAGCGAAGACGGGCCTTCAAGTGAATGTAGAGAAGACAGAGGTGGTGAAGATACCCAACCAACAACTCCAACAACAACAAGCACCATGAACGCGAGAAACCGTCAGGAAGTAGTCTCTTTCACCTACCCAGGCAAGGCAGCATCGTTTCAACTACAGGCGGCGGCACGCGCACAAACCAGGATCGGAAAAGCCTTCATTAATTTGAAATCACTGCGGAGATCTACTGTACTCAGGATAAATCGTGAGCAACATCCGGATTTTCAACACCAATGTCAAGTCAGTGCTTCTATATGGTTGAAAAACTTGACGCGTTACGAAAGGGATTTCCAATAAATTATAGATATTCATTGACAGCTGCCTACACTGGCTCGATACTGAAGATCAGATGGATGGCCAGAAAGAATAAGTAACAAGGGACTCTGAGAACGAACCAACCAAGAACCTATTGCCCAACAGATATGCAGAAGGAAGTGGAGATGGATTGGACATGCCCTGAGAAGGTCGACTGAGGACACCACGCTCCAGGACCTCGAATGGAATCCAAAGGGAAAAAGAGGAGTTGGGCATGTGAGCTGAGGGTGACATGGAGGAGATCATGTGAGGAAGTAATGAAGGGTTGTAGGCAGTCGTGGCGACAGGTTGAAACGACTACAGAGAAGAGAGTGGAGTGGAGGCGTGCTACTGAAGCCCTATTTTCCACTAGAAATCTAAGGGGGAAATGATGATAATAACAGCTTGTTATTGCACATTGGCTTGTGAATTAATACTCATCTTGACTAGTTTAGTGGATTACGTTTAAATCTTTTCTTATCAAGAAGTTATGTAATATAACCAACCACGAATATATTTATAAATTACCTTGAATCATTTCTTCGTTGTAATTATACAGCATTTAATGCAATTCGAATCTAATCGAAGCTCACTTGGAGACGACGTACGTGTTCGTGCAGTAAGCAACGGGCCGCATCAGTTGTATGAAAGTTGTTGATGATACTACCTAGCCGTCCAAACTTTGGTAGATGAAGCGATGTCTGAACCCATGACCCACTGGCTGAAAGTTAATTGCACAAACCAAGGAAATAGCTCCACGATGCCTGATAATACAACCAGAAGATCGAAGCAGCAGATTGTATCTTGTGGTTAAGTTTATGATGACAACACTAAGTAACGAGAGCTCGAATCACTTAGGAAACATCAATTTCTCATGGTCCTAGATATGCCTTGCTAATGTATACCAGCAGGCACGAAATCTAGGTCCAGGCCTTGTAACCGGTTGACTTCCATCAGCTGCCGACAAAATACGGTACACTCCAGTGTAACATCATTTCGCTGAGTGGTCGCATTTCAAAACTTGATCGATAAGCTTGAATGATTACTCAGGACTAGACAAATACATGGGTTACCCAGTGGTGACCAACTCGTGTACTTTGTGACATATTAAACTATCAGATTGTTCGAGAGCTTTTAACATAAAATTTTGAAAAAATCCACTAAATCAACGAAGCAAAACGTCATAAGAACTGAAATCACTAGTTCTGGTAGTTTTATTGAACTTTAACACACAGCACCTTTTGTTGAATACTGATTGGACGACAGTATGATCCCCCCTACTCTTTCAAAGCAAGTCAGCTGAACAGTTCATTACTTCATAAAGATTGTATGCTTCTTTTTGGCGGCATGGTTTTCTTCGAAATATTTATTAGCATCCATAACATACAAGTGTAATTAGATGAATTGTATAATGAAACTCAGCACTTCAAAGGGTTCTATTAATAATCTGCTTATTAATCGGTTGATAAATTGTTTCTGTATAACATTAAAGCTATGGAAAGTAATCTACCAAGTAAGTACTGTCCTCATCGCCATTATTCATGACATAAAGATACAACCTGAAAAACTTACTGTGATTCTTATCTATAATTCTTGATAGTAACTAACCCTCACCATAAGCTTTTGATTGATTTATAGGTACTGGTTTCTTTACTTTTAAATTCTGATCAGATTATAACGATGAATGTTGGCAGTTTCATAGTTTAATTAAGTGGACAGTCACTCTAGAGAATTCTGTTGGATTCTAGATGGTATAAAGTTGAAGCCCAGAGGTATGTGCTAATGAATACTATCAAGTGGGATTTACCTGAAAATTCGAATAAACTTGTATTTTCTTAGTAATTCAAATCCTCATTACTCACTACTGCAGTCAAATATGCCTGTACTGAGTTATTCGAGTTGTGACTAACTTTTCGGAATGGAATAAATATAGAATAGTGTAATAATAATAGATTGTAAATCGATGGATACCTGGTTGCTCACAACTGTGTGGTTGACCATTATTTTCAGTTCTGTGATACACGAGATTACTTGTTGCCAGAATAATGCATATTAACAACATCTCTGACTTTTTTTTCGAAGACTCCCTTTAATTGTTCACAAATAAGCATTGAACAACAAAGCTGTTTAAGAGCACAGAATTTATCACAGTGTGGATTGGAATTTTGTATCTAATGCCATCTTTGACAACTATACACTTGTCTAAGGAAGATATAAAGTTTATGTATAATAAAAGCACAATATATTAGCTATGCTCGGAAGCATTAGTCATTACAAACTTAGCGTGCTTCACATTATTGCTTAAAATTGAATTAATGGAATGATATTATTATTATTACTTATGATGTAAATGTTGTATATACACTGTGGATATCGAATACGGAATTTATTTCACCCGTAGTAAATAAGATTCGGCTAACCATCGGTAATGCTACTAAAACAAAGTGCGGATAACTTTGGTTATCTACATGTGCTAACATGGGTGATGTTTAATAGGGAGTCAATTATCAAATGGTGAGTCATATAATAGAAATAAAACGTGAGAGGGGTTTGTTTGAGTAAGTCGGTTTGCTATTTTAAGTCATGTCCAAGTCTGAAGTAAATATATGCCTCAGGGCTACATCAAAAGATCAGACTGATAATCAATGTGAAGCTCCCCGATCTATAATTCAGTTCCATTTAGATTTGGATGAAAAGTCCTGGCTAGGCAGCCAGTATGAATGCGATCATGAGATATTAACGACGCATCACGAATTCATATGGCAGTCAAGCAAAACCCTTGGCTATCAAAGTGAAATTAATATCTGGTCAGCAGCCGAGTACTGTAGCTCATTTAGTAGAGTAGTGGCTCGGTAACCTGGAGACGGCTGGTTCAAATCCTACTGCAGCTCAGATTTTCATTTAACCTTTCATCACCCAGTATGAATAATGCAAGTCTGCTAAACTAAGCCTACCTCAAACTGATAAAAAAAATAACAGTTTATAATTCAGCAGTAGCTCATAGTTTAATTCATAACATATATTCACAGAACTTATGTATGAAAATGTAGTGCGGTTATTGAATTATCTCAATCGCAAGAGGAAAATAAATTGTTTACGACTACTCATTTCTGTGAAGAATCTCATATTCTAAGGACAGTTTTCAAAATGGATTCATATGACTCGGAAACTATTAGAAACTTTGTGCGCTAAACAGCTATTCAAACGATTTTCAACCCATTTAAAACCAGAAAACAGTAGTAATATGATATCATCAAAGGATAGAGAACTCAATCAAGACAATATGGTATTTCGCTATCACAGTGTGAGATTTCATGTCGAAATGAAAATTTCGGCTGCTGCAGGATTTGATTCATCGACCATAGGGTTTTCGGTCCGGTGCTTTTCTAATTGAGTCATCATACATGACTATCAACCATCTTTGTCAGCATTTCGCCTTCTAATGACTATAAGTCCAGCAGTGGAAGTCAACAATGGGCGACTAAAGGTCTAACGGTAACTCGTACCACATGGACAAGATAAGGTAATCATCAACCTGGGCTCAAATCCCGACAGGGGAATGAACACTGAATAGTAAACGGATTCGGCTAATGACTTCCAAACGTCATGAAGCATGCTTGTTCCATTCCAATAATAAGCACTTACGAAATAATATGGGAGTGACTGACTAATAACTTGGAAGTCAATTGAAAATTAAAGTAAAATGCTCATTTACGGTGTTCCTGAGTTATGCCTATGAAAATTATGTGCTATAAGTTATACAAAAGTAGGAGTTCAATAAAGTGAATGATTATGATTGAAAATATTTGAAGTTAAAGTATCAATCTGTTGCTATACAGTTGCTTGTAATGAATAGTTTGATTGTATAGAAAACAATGTTCACTATGCCATATTAGATTTGTTCATTTGATTTATAACACACAGTGATCTAGTATTATTTATTTGATGACGTTTCGAGCATACATTATTGCTCATAATCATATCAGTTTAATCACACTCCACTTTGACATTTGATTTTGATAGCTGTGTCACCTTATATGAGTTGTTTTTATTGGTAGTAGAGTTTTCCGTATCTCTTGTATAGGTATCGTGTCATTTCTATTACATGTGTTGGCTAGGTATTGTCTTTGATAAACGAAGATTCAGTAATCGATCTCTTCCTCTCTCTATTAATTTATATTGGACTACAGTACAGTAGCTTTATCCCACCCTATTGTGTGGTTGTGTGTTAATGCGTCTACAGAAAACCGACACATTTTAACAGGTATCTAGAATAAAAGTCATCCCATCCAATGTCAGTTAAAGCAGGCTTAGTCAGATGTCTAAGTAATAGAGCTAGAAAACTGACTGGTCAGTGCAAGGACTTAAAAAGGGAATTGAAACACGTAAAAGAAGAGCTAATAGTTAATAATTATCCTCTGCAGTTTGTTAAGAAATTCGCATAAACACAGAAGAAACGAAAAAATAACAGTCACACGAGTATGAATAATAACGATGACACAAGTAGAAAGGAGTTTACAGCCCTATAAGGAAGGTACATCAGATCCTCAACAAGGCTAAAATCAGGGT